TCACCCCTGACAGTCCTTCAAGGTATGTACTTTCCCGAAAGAGCAAAAGATAGGTTTAGGCAGTTTCTAAAACTGATGATGGATTGAGCAGTATCTTTGTTACACATGCATTTGGGGCAAAGATCCTCTTGCCAGTGACCTTTCTTTTCACTACACAAGCAGTTTCCACTGTGTCCTTAGGAAATAGGTAGGGTCTATCAGTGTATGTCTTTGTAGGAGGTTACAGCATTCGGGAGAAGCCTTTGTTAACAGTGGCCTCTTGGAATGGAAAGAAGCCATTCAGTTCCATTAATAGTATCCCTAAAGCTGGATGCATGCTTCCTAGTCAGTCTCCCCAAAACCAGTGAAGTTCACATACTTCCTCCCCACTGTGGACTCACCATTATGTTATATTATGCTACATAATGCAAGTCAAGACAGAGTCAGCTATAAAAGAATTATGGAAAATATTCTTTGTGCTAAATCAGACACAGAGGAATAAACCAAGGCCAAAAAGGCCACTCTTACTGCAGTCATGTGTAAAGAAATATTTTCAATACATGAGATTTTGTTCTATGGGTAATTACTGATAAAAGTTTGAGTGAGTATTGTATAGAGATCACTTACTTTTACCCATTTTCATTAAACACTGGGTTGATCCTGTCAAGGTTCTCGGACTGTCACTTCCCCCAGAAGTCCTGGAGGACTGTCAACATTCAGGCACCCGTGTCCTGGGGGAGGACCCACCCCTTCCCTTTGAGGAATGTTTCAGCAAAAACAGTAGTGAAGCACTTAATAAGGTGCCAGTGGAGAATGTACAGCTGTGCTTTCTCTGCAAGCATTCAGTTACACAAAGGGTCAGAGGTCCTGTTCTGAAATTTTTTTCTGGAATTTAAACTTATACTATAGATGTATTACAGACATCTGAAAATCACAATTTCGTGACCGAAGTAAAGTCCTGAGTCAGTTGATATTCTGAGTTCTTTCCTAATGATGTTCGTTTATAATACGTATAAAACAGACCTCAACTACACATTGACTTTTTAAATACCCATTCCCAAATGTTCAGTAATGTGCTCTTTTTTCCTGTAAATACAGGATAAAGTGTTGTGTCTATTCTAAATGGCATTTAATGAAACTGATTATAAACTTTTTTATTATATTATTAAAGAAGGCAGTCATAAGGAAAGAAAAAAAAAGAGTTTATTTAAAACAATGTACATTTAGGATGGACTAATGTAAAATCACTTGAAGCATGTCACTGCATTCCTTGCTCTTTAGCATAGCTTTACCTCACCTTTGTTAGAATAATTATTGTCCTGCGTCAGCTTTTACTAATATAAAGATATATTTTGTGTTACTTGCTCTGGTGAGTTTGGTTGGTTGTTTTGTTTTGGTTGTTCTTCCCCAGTTCGGTGGTCAGGCCTACAGTGATGTGGAACACACCTCCGTACAGTGCCGCGCCCTGGACGGAATCGAATGTGCCAGTCCTAGGACCTTCCTACGAGAGAATAAACCTTGTATAAAGTAAGTGTTACTCTGAATGGAGTAGCTGTTACTTGGATGGTGGTAGAGGTGTTTTGTCATTTCTTGATGTGACTTTTTCTTTTACTGTTAAGTGTTAAAGGGGCAGCATGATTACTACTGTGCATCCTCCATGGACACCAACAATGTAGTTATAACAGAGGGGACACTGGACAGGAGACCAGAGGCTGTGAATTCTAAATGTCTCTTTCACCAACCAGCTAAGGACATTTGGCCACCCAGAGTCTCTATCCTCTCATCTGAAAAATGAAGGCGTTGGACCAGATGATGTAGCTCCAAAAGTCCTAGGATAGGCATAAATCCTTTGCAAACAGCCTTAGATTTTCAGGAATAAAGATTTTATTATGAAAAGTATGGACGCTTCTCCCTGAAAATCAGGTATTACCTTAAAGAATTAGGGTTATTTCTGTAAACTCCGCTTGAAGGCACAGAATTTACGTATACCATTTGCTAATGGAGAGTCTGTGACTGTGTTAAGTGATGCTGTTAGAGCATCTGCAATTGATTGTTATCACAGTACATAAGACTGTGTACAGTCTTACGTACAGTACATAAGACCTTACAAAGAAGTCCTGTTGTTAGGTGCCACAAAACAGCAGAAAAGGAATATGGAGATCAGTGTTCATTTAAGGGAAGGTAACACCTCATTAGAGAACTACATTCAGAACTGCAGCCTCCCTCCGGAAAGGAGCCTGTGTAGGAGGGATGGGGGCCCAGACTCCACACCTACCAGGATACCTATCTTGCAAATGTGCTTGATAGTTTCTTGTTCAGTCCAGCTCTGTATTGATTCCTAAAGGTCCTCCATACCTTAGCAAGTACTCTTTTGAGGGTCTAGACAAACTAGAGATTTTCCTTTTTGGGGGCGGGATGGGGGGCAGTTAAGAGGTCCCAGAGGGACTGCCTCACCGTCTTTTCACTTACGTGAAATTCACTAATCGTTAAGCGTTTTCATTTTCATGTGGTAATCATCTTCCTCTTAATTCCCTTTGTGTAGGTACACCGGACACTACTTCATAACCACTTTGCTCTACTCCTTCTTCCTGGGATGTTTTGGAGTAGATCGTTTCTGTCTGGGACACACTGGCACAGCAGTAGGGAAGCTCTTGACACTTGGAGGACTTGGGATTTGGTGGTTTGTTGACCTTATTTTGCTTATTACTGGAGGGCTGATGCCAAGTGACGGCAGCAATTGGTGCACTGTTTACTAAAAAGAGCGGCTACCGTGGCCCAGAGAGGTAAGTCTCCTGAATTCATCTCTACAGGCTCAGAACTCTTCCTTATTATCAGACCTGACCATTGCCTTCCTCTTTGGAGGGAATGGCTTTGGTTAGGAAGGTTTCTTTGGACTGTGGATTTTCAACCCAAACTTCACCTTGCAGACTAGAAATGATAAGCAAACAGTATTGTGGGTATCAAGTCTGCACCTTTCCTCATATACAAAAAATATAAAGGATAGTGATTATTTTATTTATTTCTGTGCGTTGCTGTATAATCAATCCTTTGGAGCAAGTGGACCCAACAGGATAAGCAAAGTGAATATTTTTAGCCTTGTGCCTTTTGTGACCCTGAGTCCTCATGCGGTGGAGATCGGAAGCTGAACCAACGAAAATCTTCAGAAGTAGAAATGACGATGGATTTTAATTACGCTGAAATTCTGACTTTCTGAGTTTAAATTGCAGAATAAATGTTGCCAACCTGGAATGCTCGTTTGGGTGTTCTCAGTAGGCAGAATGAAACTCAAAATTATACTTGTTGTGCTTAAAGCTAAGCATTTGAACTGAGCCTGATAATAAACCCTATTGTTTCATCATTATTATGCCTGAGAGGGAATATATCCAGTACAGTAATTTCCTCATTCCAGTTATGTTTTGGATAGCTGAACATGGCTGAGTTCAGCCATCCTCTTGGCAGACTTTTCCTATCAAAAAAGTAGTATTTACCAGTTTAGAGAGCCCATGTTGTAGACTAGTAAAAAAAAAAAAAAAAAAAGATTTCATACAAGTAACTGTAAATCTGTTCTTCATGATTAGGTAAGATAATATGAGGGGCCTCAGGCCCCTGGAAAGAAAAGCAGACTCTTCCTTAAAGGATATTACTACTGAGTGCTGGGTAGAGTTAGGATTGATCTGGGGGGCAAAGAGAAACTGAACACATTCTGTCAAAATAAGCATGGTACCAAAATCTCTCAGTGTGGGCTATAGCAATCAGTCATAGGGAAAGAGACAGCCAAGGTTTCGAGTTCCCAAATCACTGGGAATAAAAGAAAATGTTCTGAATTATAAGTGGTTTTTTAAAACTTAGTTCCCATCCCTTGCAATCTGAGTTGAAAAGAATATAAGGTAAAAATGGGGTTTGTAAGGTAAATCAAAGTAAGAGCCTGGTATTTGGGCAACTTATAAATTCTAAAAACAATCAAGGTAGAACTGCTCAAAGTTTAGTCTCGTAATAATTGACATAAAGACCAAGAATCCCAGTTAAAGTAACTCTGAATATGCTCTATCATTATGAAGTTTTCCTAAGAGTTTCAGCTTTATTATCTCTGATTAATATGACCACTGTTCTTACGGTATTAAATGGTGGCAATTATGTAAAAGTTAAAACAGATTATTCTATTTTGTCCTGAAAGTTCTGTACCACGTTGACCTTAACCTTCTTTATAACAGTAATAATTGAGAGATTCTTATTTATAATCTCTACACTCTAAGGCAGTACATGTTGTGGGTCATGAAGAAACTGGACCTTCTCCCCAGAAAAATGCACAGAAACATAAAATTTTGCATAGAACTTAAGAGGGTTCAAGGATGCCCCCTTTTAAAAAGAAAAAGAAAAAAAACTTAAGAAAAATCTGGAAAACAAACTAAAATTGAAATCTTACCCCAAATAAGATACTACTTTAAAACCACAAATCCTGCTTCATCTCACAAAAAAAAAAAAAAAAAAAACTTAAGGATATTCACAAACCCCATCCAAAGCTATTTTCCTTTAAAAATAAAAAATAAACTGTGGCAGCTTTCAGACTCAAAATCATTAATCATTAATGTTTCCAGGAGGAAGAGCTTGGGTAAAGAGGTGAAAGTCTGTAAGTTATTAAATTTTGTATTTTAAAGAAGAAGCCCTTCTCACAGAAAAGGTGATGGGGATCAAAGTTGTTTCCACTGCTAGGTGACAGCCTGAGAATCTTTACCTTCCTCTGTGACGATCCACATTTGTCAGTTTCAGTGTGGCTTCTAGGTGATGCCCATCCTCTGTATTCACAAACCCTGGCCAAATGTGACACAACCTGAAAAACTATTTGAATAAAGGAATATTTTGAAAAATGTGATTTCCTTTATACTCTGGATTCAGTTTTTTTCTTAATATTTGGTAGATAGATCTATTTGTTTGTGTATATTTGTGTTATATCCAGTTTGTGGCTATAGAGAAGTTTTTAAATACTGAAGTGTCCTTTTTGTCAAGGTTAAACTAGAAACTCTGCCTGTTTTCAGTTGTTTCCTGTCTTTAGATAAAATTTTATCAGCTCCCCAGACTTCCTGGCACCATGTCCTTCTTCCACTTGCCTTAGGAATGCTTCTTAGCAGCAGTTATAACACCCCCAACCTAATGGTTCCAGAGTGTGTGTATTTGTGTTTTAAAGCATTCATTTTCCTTTATTAAGAAACAGATCCTAAAACCCCTTGCCATCTTTGGCACATCTTCAATACAAACCAGGTAATAAAGCTTTGGTTTCGTTAGATCATTTCTTTTTAAAGCAAGACACTTAATTGATTATATCAGGTGTGTCTGTCAGGATCAACGTTTGACTTCTCCAACGAACCAGGATAGAAAGGGAATCATTGGCCTTAACAGCTTCAATCGCGTCGGTTGTCGTGTGACAGGTTGTCCATTTATGCTGACTATTACATCATGGTCTCTCAACCCAGAGCTGGGAGGGGAGAAGAAAGGGCCATGAAACTGTAAGAGTTTTACTTATCCCCATCTAGAATTTAATGTCTGTCTCTTAAGACACTACCATTTTGCTGGCATTAAACATACAGACCATGGGCTTCCCTGGTGGCACAGTGGTTGAGAGTCCGCCTGCCGATGCAGGGGACACAGGTTCGTGCCCCGGTCTGGGAAGATCCCACGTGCCGCGGGGCAGCTGGGCCCCTGAGCCATGGCTGCTGAGCCTGTGCGTCCGGAGCCTGTGCTACGCAACGGGAGAGGCCACAACAGTGAGAGGTCCGCATACAGCAAAAAAAAAAAAAAAAAAAAAAACAGACCAGGAAACCAGAAGTAGCCTCCATCCTTCTGAATGTGAGGCCTGCTCTAATATATTCTGCAAAATCACTGGAGGACAACAACCCTATTTGCCTTTCCAAAATTAATATTCTACCAGAATAATGTATAAGAAGTTTGCTCCTCCCATATATGAGATTTGGTTTGCAATAGGGGGTTCAGCTTTTCATTTCTATTAATTCCTGACCTCACTTAACCTGAAGCATACACTCGGCCTTACCAACAAACGTGAAAAGCCCAAGCAATATATACTTTTCCAGACAGTTACACTCTAATCAGTTTGATGTTGACAGCCCACTTACTTGCCCCATCTTCACCCACAGTTTATGGACCTGGAGGGTATGCTGAGCTGCACTACAGAAGCAGCTTCCAGTAAGTCAAAAACCAGTCACCAAGGTCTAAATATTTAAGACTCTGGTTCTAGGCTCCTTTTCCTCAAAGCTGTGATTATACTCAGCCTCCAACGTATTTGCTTCACGTAGAATATATATTTTAGAAACAAAAACCAGCTCCAAATACAAAACACTAGAATAAATATAGCCATGCTGATGATCTGTCTTAAAGTCAAAAATAGCCTGGAAATCAAATTAAATGACTGCAGGAGACACCATTTATGAGAAATGGGGGGAATTCCCTGGTGGTCCAGTGGTTAGGACTGAGTGCTCCCACTACCAGGGTCCCGAGTTCGATCCTTGGTCAGGGAACTAAGATCTCACAAGCCGTGAGGTGCAGCCAAAAAAAAAAAAAGAGAGAGAGAGAAACTGGAAGCTGGGAAGCCCAGGGAAGAATGATAATGTGGGAGGATTACCAAGGTATGTAGAGTTTATTTTTCAAAAAAATTTAAAGGAAGAGGATGTGAAGTTTGAGCATAGAACTAAAAGCAGGGAAAGCCTGAGAACCAGGACAGCTCAGGGGAATGCCTGGGACAGTGCATAAAGAAAGAACTGAATTCATGATAGTTCTGTGAGAAAGAAACCTGCAAAGTATTACTGAATGCAAACTATGCACCAAGTATGAGGAAGTGGGGCTCAGGCAGGATGAAAGACCTTTTCCGTGTCCCACAGCTTATAAGAGGCTAAAGTAGGATTTCATCCTGGATCTCTCAGACTTGAAAACCCATTTTCTTGCCAATCACTCTGCCTCTCAGAAACAAAAGTAGCCGCCAGAGCAGGATAATACAGGGGCTAAGCTAGGTTGCACATCCCTGCCCTCTGACTTACAGTGTAACTCTCAAGGTCATTAACCTCTCTGCACCACAGCTGCTGCTTCCGTAAAATAACACCTGTATCCCACAATTATTGGGGGCTCGAACAAGGACGTAAGACACTTTAAATGATGCCTGACATAATAAGTGGTTGATAAATGCCAGCTGTTATTACTGGAATTATTGTCATTATTCTTAGATATAAGTGGGTGATGACAGAATGATTTGCGGTTTATCAGGGACTTCAAGCAAGCAGTAATACCCACATTTTAATGTGCATCTGAATCCCCTGAAGATCTTGTTTAAAAAGCAGATTCTGATTTTTTTTTAACTTTTTATTTTATATTGGAGTAGGTTGTGTTAGTTTCAGGTATACAGCAAAGTGATTCAGTTATACCTATACATATACCAGTTCTTTTTCAAATCCTTTTTCAGTGGTGCTCCTGTCACTGAATTTCTAAAAAGCTCCAGCTGATGCTATTGCTGCTGGTCTACAGACCACATTTTGAGGAGCAAGGACTTGAAGAGCTGAAAGAGATAGCTTTGGCCTTGAACCAGAAGTTAAAAATAAGTGGGGGGGAGGGGAGTGGGCAGGGACCAAGAACGTCTAGAAAAGCCTGTGACGAGTCAAGTTTAGTAACAGGAGGCCTAACACTTAACTCTTCTGAACAGTTAGTACCCTATAGATTCTTCCCCATGAAAAGAGTTGCCATAATCTAAGCAGACTGTTGAGCTCTTAAAAAACAAAAACAGTGAGGGAGGGATATGGAAGAAGTATAAGAGAGAGACCAGGTGAATATTTGTAGGCCAAGTCACCCTGTCTCGCAGTAGTTACTATAAATGTCTCAAAACGTCTCTTGCCTTTGCTTTATTTACTGTATGTACTTGTTTGTTTGTTTTTTGTTTTTGTTTTTTTTTTGCAGTACGCGGGCCTCTCACTGTTGTGGCCTCTCCCGCTGCGGAGCACAGGCTCCGGACGCGCAGGCTCAGCGGCCATGGCTCACGGGCCCAGCCGCTCCGCGGCATGTGGGATCTTCCCGGACCGGGGCACGAACCCGTGTCCCCTGCATCGGCAGGCGGACTCCCAACCACTGCGCCACCAGGGAAGCCCTTAGTGCTGGCCTCTGATACTTTCATCCGAAATTCAAAGAGAAAAAGTGTTTTAAAGTACCTAAAATAGGTTCTTAAACTCCTCACTCCCTGGATTCTTCTGATTCTTAATAAGTAAGGTAGCAAAAGAGTAGATTTGGGAATTCCTAGCAAAATTAAACTTATGTCATGAACTCATATCATGAATTCTTGGGCTGCAGTGAACCATCCCTTCCAAAAAAAGAAAAGCCGGGGCTGGGGGGGCCCTTACTAGTACTCTTAGCACTGTCCAACAGAAATGTAAGGCAAGCCACATATATAACTTAAAATTTTCTGGTAGCCACATTCAAAAAATTTTTAAACTTTTTAAAATTTTTAAACAGATGAAACTAATATATAATATAAAAATATATTTTAATATCTTAACTCTATCTAAAATATCATTTAACATATCATAGTTTAATAATTATTAATACATATTTTACACTCTGTTCTAAGTCTTTGAAATCCTCTAGAAACAGCACACACCCAATATGCTGCTATACGATGATAATCTCTTACACAATGCAGTTATTAAAGTGAAACACAGTCTCCCCAAAACAAAAAAAGTGTGTTTCAGGGGAGAATATTTTACATTGCTTCTGGGTTTTTGTATTTAAATCAATTAAAGTTAAATAAAATTAAAAATGCAGTTCCTCAGTCACACCAGCCACCCCTCAGGTAGGTGTTCAGTAGCCTCACGGCAGGCAGGGCCCACCGTTATCAGACAGGGCAAGTCTAGATCCTACACACATTCACCACGGGGCACATCTAGTGAGAACAGGGAAGGATGGTCAGAGGCCCGAGCTGCTCTTACCTTTCAGCAGCTGTTCCTCGAATCACCTCATATACAGAAACTCCAGAGGTCACATCACGGAAATGTGGATCTGGCCTTTTCATTTCCTGAAGCAGGCTAAGAAGAGTCCGAAGAGTTTTCCCATGAGGTTAGGAAGCACAATGAATTAGTCTCCTGAGCCCTGGACAACCCTCCAACTGTCAGTGGGGATTCTATCTGCTCTGCTCAGGGCTCACACACATGGGACAAGGATGCCCTCTAGCTGGTCACCATCATTCTTCCCCAGGGGTGGTCTGATTCTCTGTGCCGAAGCCTAGAACCACTGGACATAGTGAAAGAAACCACTGAAAAGTACAGTGCGTGCTGGTGCCAGCAGATGCAGTCACCTACCCTGTGACAAGTAGGGCCTGCAGTCACGAGAGGAGCCAGCCGCTGTCCAAATGCTTTACCTTCCCCCTTCAGGCTCTCTACCCATAGCTTGTGCTTCTGAAAAACAACCCAGGCATGGTCACACCCATGCTTGCTTCATAGTGAGGGGCAGCATGCGCAGAACCAACTATTTCTTCTGTGAAACAGCCTTTCCTGGAAAGGAGAATTATAACGTGTTACTAACAAAGCCTTCTTTCCTTTTGGCAGACCGAGTCACAGAATATCCTTCCAATGTTAGCTGCCCTTTCAGGCTGCCAGCCAAGACAAACAAGCCTCAGAGAACCTTTGTCGCTCGCACAGGCCCACCTCCCCACATCCAGCCCAGGGCTTTCCTTTCCACAGTAGTTCCATCCAACTATCTCTGGGTACAGCTCAGGCTGGGTTTTGCACCTAGTCCCCTGGTACTGCTGCCTGGATCACTGTGATCAGAGCTCAGTACTGGTGACTGTTTTCTACAGAACTCAAAGGATTGTCTCAGGGACTTCCCAGTGGTTAGGGCTCCACACTTCCACTGCAGGGGGCACGGATTCAATCCCTGGTTGCAGAACTAGGATCCCACAAGCCACGCAGCGTGGCCAAAAAAAGGGATTGTCTCCACCACAGTGGAGCCCTTTGAGGGCTCCTGAAAAGCACGGGAGGGGAAGAAAAATTCCTAATTCCCCTCACCTTTCTGTCGAATGCAATCCAAGGGAATTGCAAAGGAGATTCCTGTGGTCACCTTCAGTGTGTTTATGCCAATCACATCACCATCCTGACAAGGGAGGGGACATCAATTCAGCAGCCCAGTTCTGCAGACTGACAAGCAAAGGAAGGAGAGAAGCTTAGGGTCACTTACGGTCGAGCAACAGGTAGCATCTTAGCGGACCAAGGCGTGCAAAATCCTGCTGAGGAATTCTGGGTTTTAATCTTGAGCTCTTTTTTTTCTTGGCCAAATTACATTGCTTTTCAAAGTGAACCACAGTTTGTATTTTGACACAGATATGAGAGTAAGGAGTATATGCCTTTCCATTCCTTAAATGAGACTAAAAATAAACACGGAAAAGGCAAAAATCTGTTGACTTTCAGCCACACTTCAATGAAACTATTCAGAAGATTCAGTAAATTGACCTTAGGAACAAAGCTCTACTAAACTAAATTTATGAAGTGGGAAATACTTTCCTTTTTGTGCATTTCATCTTTCCTTAGCCTTTGTTAGGTAACGGGAAGGATAGAAAAGAGACTTCCGATCACATTTAAACACAGATTATAATTCAATAGGTCTGGAGTGTGGCTTGAAATTCTGCATTTCATCCCTGCTCTAGTAAACTCATTGTTTACTGGAGAAAAAGCAGGCACAAAAATCACATGCAAAAAAGAAAAATCACATGCAATGTTAGGAGTAAAGGGGGCGGAGTCAAGATGGCAGACTAGGAGGATGCAGAATTCGCGTCTCCTCACAACTAGGGCACCTACCAGGCACTGGAGGGGGACCATGGACACCTAAGGGGACGGGGGTAGGAACCCCCAGTGACCAGGTAAGATGTGGGGCTTGCGGGGAGTGAAGGGGGAGGAGAAGTGGAGGCGGGACAGGACTGGCACCCCTGAGGGGCGGCTGGGGGAAGGAAGGAGTTCCTACACCCAGCGGGACCCACCCACGGTTAGGGGTCCAGCTGGGGGAGATGGCGGGGGAGGGGCGCGGAGGAACGGAAGGGAACGCAGCCAGCGCTTTCCCTGTCCTCTTAGGCACCGGGGAACCTGTTGGGCTCCCGGGCCTAATCCTCAGCCCTCGGAGCCTCCCTCCTGCCGGGCAGAGCCCAAGGCCCGCCCCTGCACACCCACCTGGGGCCCTACCTCTACACTCGGAGACCCCCTCCAACGTGCTGGGCCTAAACCCCACCCACACACCCTCACCCAGGGCCCTACCTCCAAACTCCCAAACCCCACACTCCAGAGGCCCTCCTTTCCATGTGCTCCCCTTCCCTGCAGGCCCTAAGCAGAAGCCCCGCTCCACGCTTGAACATCGACCGCCTAGGCCCAGCCCCATGCTCAAACATCACCTCCCACCCGCCTAGCTCCCACCCCACCCTAAACCCTGCCCCTGCTGAAGTTCCACCCCTGCCTAAACTCCACCCCCCCCATAGCCAAGGCTTTTTGTTTTTCTTTGTTTCTTTTTTCCTCTTTTAGATTGGGGTGCTGTTTTACCTTGATTCATTTATATTTTTCTTTTTTCTAATAAATCTTTTAGTTTTCTAATTTTATTCTTTATACTTTGTTATTGTTCTCCTTTTTGCTTGTTCCCTTTTTTCTTTCCTTTTTTCTGTTGTGGTTTTATTTTACCTTGTTGCAGTTGTTTCAATTATAGTTTTATTTTTCCTAATATATTTTTTGTCTTTCTAATTTTATTTCTTTTTTATTCTTTGTTATTGTATTGCTCCTTTTTTCTTTTTTTTTTTTCTCCCATGCCACACGTCTTGTGGGACCTTGGTTCCCAGGCTGGGGGTCGCTCTGAGTCCAAACCGCTGGACTAACAGAGAACTTCAGACCCCAGGGAATATTAATCAGAGTGAGTCCTCCTGGAGGTCCTCATCTCAGCTCTGAGACCCGGCTCTATCCAACTGCCTGCAAACCCCAGTGCTGGACACCTCAGGCCAAACAACCAGCTCCACCCATCAAAAAAAAAAAAAATGAAACGACAAAAAAATATATTACAGACGAAGAAGCAAGGTAAAAACCTATAAGACCAAATAAATGAAGACAAAATAGGTAACCTACCTGAAAAGGAACTCAGAGTAATGATAGGAAAAATGATACAAAATCTCAGAAACAGAATGGAGAAAATACAAGAAACATATCACAAGGATCTAGAAGAACTAAAGCACAAACAAACAGTGAGAACAACACAATAAATGAAATTAAAAATACTCTAGAAGGAATCAATAGCAGAATAACTGGGGCAGAAGAACACATAACTGAGCTGGAAGATAAAATGTTGGAAATAACTGCCAGGGAGCAGAATAAAGAAAAAAGAATGAAAAGAATTGAGGACAGTCTCAGAGACCTCAGGGACATTAAACGCACCAACATTTGAATTATAGGGGTCCCAGAAGAAGAAGAGAAAAAGAAGGGGTCTGAGAAAATATTTGAAGAGATTATAGTCGAAAACTTCCCTAATATGGGAAAGGAAATAGTCAAGTCTAGGAAGCACAGAGAGTCCCATACAGGATAAACCCAAAGAGAAACACACCGATACACATATTAATCAAACTATCAAAAAATTAAATACAAAGAAAAACTATTAAGAGCAGCAAGGGAAAAGCAACAAATAACATACAAGGGAATCTCCATAAGGTTAACAACTGATCTTTCAGCAAAAACTCTGCAAGCCAGAAGGGAGTGGCAGGACATACTTAAAGTGATGAAAGGGAAAACCTACAACCAAGATTACTCTACCCAGCAAGGATCTCATTCAGATTTGATGGAGAAATCAAAAGCTTTACAGAAAATCAAAAGTTCAGAGAATTCAGCACCACCAAACCAGCTTTAAAACAAATGCTAAAGGAACTTCTCTAAGTGGGAAACACATGAGAAGAAAAAGACCCACAAAAACAAACGCAAATCAATTAAGAAAATGGTAATAGGAACATACATATCGATAATCACTTTGAATATAAATGGATTAAACGCTCCAACCAAAAAACGTAGACTGGCTGAATGGATACAAAAACAAGACCCTTATAAATGCTGTCTACAAGAGACCCACTTCAGACCTAGGGACACATACAGACTGAAAATGAGGGGATGGAAAAAGATATTCCATGCAAATGGAAATCACAAGAAAGCTGGAGTAGCAATACTCAGAGTAAATAGGCTTTAAAATAAAGACTGTTACAAGAGATAAGGAAGGACACTATATAATGATCAAGAGATCAATCCAAGAAGAAAACGTAACAATTATAAATATTTATGCACCCAACATAGGAGCATCTCAATACATAAGGCAAATGCTAACAGCCATAAAAGGAGAAATCGACGGTAACACAATAATAGTGGGGGACTTTAACACCCCACTTACACCAATAGACAGATCATCCAAACAGAAAATAAATAAGGAAACACAAGCTTTAAATGACACAACAGAACAGAAAGACTTAATTGATATTTTTAGGACATTCCACCCAAAAGAGGAAGAATACAGTTTCTTCTCAAGTGCACATGGAACCTTCTCCAGTCACATTTTGGGTCACAAGTCAAACCTTGGAAAATTTAAGAAAATGTAAATCATATAGAGCGTCTCTTCTGAGCACAATGCTATGAGATTAGAAATCAATTACAGGAAAAAAACAGTAAAATACACAAATACATGAGGGCTAAACAGTGTGCTGCTAAATAACCAAGAGATTACTGAAGAAATCAAAGAGGAAATCAAAAAATACCTAGAAACAAATGACAATGAAAACATGATGACCCAAAACCCATGGGATGCAGCAAAAGCAGTTCTAAGAGGGAAGTTTATAGCAATACAATCCTACCTCAGGAAACAAGAAACATCTCAAATAAACAACCTAACCTTACACCTAAAGCAATGAGAGAAAGAAGAACAAAAAAAAGCCAAAGTCAGCAAAAGGAAAGAAATCATAAAGATAAGATCAGAAATAAATGAAAAAGAAGTGAAGGAAACAATAGCAAAGATCAATAACTAAAAGCTGGTTCTTTGAGAAGATAAGCAAAATTGATAAACCATTAGCCAGACTCATCAAGAAAAAAGGGAGAAGACTCAAATCAACAGAATTAGAAATGAAAAAGGAGAAGTAACAACTGACACTGCAGAAATACAAAGGATCATGAGAGATTACTACAAACAACTATATGCCAATAAAATGGACAACCTGGAAGAAATGGACAAATTCTTAGAAAAGCACAACCTTCTGAGAGTGAACCAGGAAGAAACAGAAAATATAAACAGACCAATCACAAGCACTGAAAATGAGACTGTGATTAAAAATCTTCCAACAAACAAAAGCCCAGGACCAGATGGCTTCACAGGCAAATTCTATCAAACATTTAGAGAAGAGCTAACACCTATCCTTCTCAAACTCTTCCAAAATATAACAGAGGGAGGATCACTCCCCAACTCATTCTGCAAGGCCACCATCACCCTGATACCAAAACCAGACAAAGATGTCACAAATAAGGAAACTACAGGCCAATATACTGATGAACATAGATGCAAAAATCCTCAACAAAATATTGCAAACAGAATCCAACAGCATATTAAAAGGATCATACACCATGATCAAGTGGGATTTATCCCAGAATGCAAGGATTCTCCAATATACGCAAAACAATCAATGTGATACACCATATAACAAATTAAAGAATAAAAACCATATGATCACCTCAATAGATGCAGAAAAAGCTTTTGACAAAATTCAACACCCATTTATGATAAAAACTCTCCAGGGCTTCCCTGGTGGCGCAGTGGTTAAGAATCCGCCTGCCAATGCAGGGGACACGGGTTCGAGCCCTGGTCTGGGAAGATCCCACATGCTGCAGAGCAACTAAGTCCGTGCACCACAGCTACTGAGCCTGTGCTCTAGAGCCAGCGAGCCACAACTACTGAGCCTGCGTGCCACAACTACTGAAGCCTGCGCACCTAGAGCCCGTGCTCTGCAACAAGAGAAGCCACCTCAATGAGAAGCCCATGCACTGCAACAAAGAGTAGCCCCCGCTCGCCACAACTAGAGAAAGCCCATGCACAGCAAGGAAGACCCATTGCAGCCAAAACATAAATAAATAAATAAATGTATTAAAAAAAAAAAAAACTCTCCAGAAAGTGGGCATAGAAGGAACCTATCTCAACATAATAAAAGCCAGATATGACAAACCCACAGCCAACATCATTCTCAATGGTAAAAAACTGAAAGCATTTCCTTTAAGATCAGGAACAAGACAAGGTTGCCCACTCTCACCACTGTTATTCAGCATAGTGTTGGAAGTCCTAGCCACAGCAACCAGAGAAGAAAAAGAAATAACAGGAATACAAATTGGGAAAGAAGAAGTAAAACTGTCACTGTCTGCTGATGACACGATACTAAACATAGAAAATCCTAAAGATGCCACCAAAAAACTACTAGAGCTAATCAATGAATTTGGTAAGGTTGCAGGATACAAAATTAATGCACAGAAATCTCTTGCATTCCTATACACTAACAACGAAAGATCAGAAAGAGAAATTAAGGAAACAATCCTATTTACCACTGCAACAAAAAGAATAAAATACCTAGGAATAAACCTACCTAAGGAGGCAAAAGACCAGTACTCAGAAAACTATAAAACACTGATGAAAGAAATCAAAGATAACATAAACAGATGGAGAGATACCATCCTCCTGGATTGGAAGAATCAATATTGTGAAAATGCCTACACTACCCAAAGCAATCTACAGGTTCAATGAAATCCCTATCAAATTACCAGTGGCATTTTTCACAGAACTAGAACAAGAAATTTTACAATTTGTATGAAAACACAAAAGACCCCGAATAGCCAAAGCAATCTTGAGAAAGAAAAACAGAGCTGGAGGAATCAGGCTCCCTGACTTCAGACTATACTACAAAGCTACAGTAATCAAGACAGTATGGTACTGGCACAAAAACAGAAATATAGATCAATGGAACAAGATAGAAAGCCCAGAGATAAGCCCACGCACATATGGTTACCTTATCTCTGACAAAGGAGGCAAGAATATACAATGAAGAAAAGACAGCCTCTTCAATAAGTGGTGCTGGGAAAAATGGACAGCTACATGTAAAAGAATGAAATTAGAACACACCCTAACACCATACACAAAAATAAACTCAAAATGGATTAAACACCTAAATGTAAGGCCAGACACTATAAAACTGTTAGAGGAAAACACAGGCAGAACACTCTATGACATAAATCACAGCAAGATCCTTTCTGACCCACCTCCTAGAATACGGGAAATAAAAACAAAAATAAACAAATGGGACCTAATGAAATTTGCACAGCAAAGGAAACCATAAACAAGACGAAAAGACAACCCTCAGAATGGGAGAAAATATTTGCAAATGAAGCAACTGACAGAGCATTAATTTCCAAAATATACAAGCAGCTCATGCAGCTCAATATCACAAAAACAACCCAATCCAAAAATGAGCAGAAGACCTAAATAGACATTTCTCCAAAGAAGACATACAGATGGCCAACAAATGCATGAAAAGAGGCTCAACATCACTAATCGTTAGAGAAATGCAAATCAAAACTACAATGAGGTATCACCTCACACCGGTCAGAATGGCCATCATCAAAAAATGTACAAACAATAAATGCTGGAGAGGGTGTGGAGAAAAGGGAACCCTTCTGCACTTTTGGTGGGAATGTAAATTGATACAGCCACTATAGAGAACAGTATGGAGATTCCTTTAAAAACTAAAAATAGAACTACCATTCGACCCAGCAATCCCACTACTGGGCATATACCCTGAGAAAACCATAATTCAAAAAGAGTCATGTACCACAATGTTCATTGCAGCACTATTTACAATAGCCAGGACATGGAACCAACCTAAATGTCCATCAACAGATGAATGGATAAAGAAGATGTGGCACATATACACAATGGAATATTACTCAGCCATAAGAAGAAACAAAACTGAGTTATTTGTAGTGAGGTGGATTGACCAAGAATCTGTCATACAGAGTGAAGTAAGTCAGAAAGAAGAAAAACAAATACCATATGCTAACATGTATATATGGAATCCAAAAAATATGGAATTTTAAAAAGCAGTACTAATGAACCTAGTGGCAGGGCAGGAATACAGACGCAGAGGTAGAGAACAGACTTGAGGGCACGGGGGGAAAGGGGATGCTGGAATTAAGTGAGAGAGTGGCATGGACATATATACACTAACAAATGTAAAATGGATGGCTAGTGGGAAACTGCTGCAGAGCACAGAGAGATCAGCTCGGTGCTTTGTGATGACCTAGAGGGGTGGGATAGGGAGGGTGGGAGGGAGACGCAAGAGGGAGGGGATTTGGGGATATGTGTATACATATAGCTGATTCACTTTGTTATACAGCAGAAACTAACACAACAATGTAAAGCATTGAAACTCCAATGAAGATGTGGAAAAAAAAAATGTAAGGAATAAAAAGCGCTCAGTGATTTCACACACAATTCCTCCTCCTACAAGCAAATGTAATATGTGAAGAGAAACCAGAAACAATCAGCTCAAGGGACTCAGAGAGCATGATCACAGGCCGTGTGTCAAACAGCACTGCTCTCTTGTTGTATCTGAGCAACTAGAAACCCTGGCATTTCCATTAGGGACGTTAAATAAAATTTAAGCAACAATGACAAAGCAATGACAGAGCAACGGATTGTTGTTGTGGTTTTTTGTCGTCTCTAAGCAGGTCAATACTAAATTAGCATTTTGGAATGAGACTTAGTTCTTCACATGCAGAAGCAGGGGGTCTTCAAGGATATACATTACATAGTACAGTTGTCATTTGACATAATTTGGGTTTAGTACCCAGGACTTTTTTAAGTACCCAATGAAAGCAGAAAGCACACTGAAGAGATGTAAGTAGGTGTTAAGGAAACCCTGACCCCCTCGGCTGGAGGAGCTCACATGCCAAGATGACAAATCCATCACAGATCTTAAATTTTTCCTAGCCCTTTACTTAAGATGCAATAATAGAAAAGCATCGTACCACAAATCTCTACACAAGAGCGACATCCCAGTCTGCATCATGAAATTTGTCAAGTTTTTGCAAGTTAAGAAGCGTGAAGCAGCAAGGAAAGTGGTCACTTACCAAATTCACCAGAGGCCCCCCAGAATTCCCGTGCTGAAGACAGAATTTGAAAAACCATCAGTACTTTTCTCCCAGTCATCTATATATAGTTCCCAAAGAGGTCTCCCAAAAACAGCCTGCCCTAGTGAGCCCCTGTTTCCCCAGGGCAGGCAAAATTGGGCCCCATCATGATCATCTCCGAAGTCGGTGCAGGTAAAGAACAACAGCAAGAGGACCGCCACCTCCTACGGAAGCAGTGACCTCTGCGACAGACCCTAGGAGACCATCCAGTTATCACATCAAACAGGCTCACCTCTAATAGCGTGGCATTCCGTACCTCTCATGAGGATAGACCTGATCTCTGGACATCCCCGAAAGGCCAAAGGGAAAAGAAGGCCCCCTGAAGTGTTCCTCTCACCGCATTGCCAGTATCTTATGGGCTGAGCACAGCCTACCCCTGTGACTTACATTAATTATGGCATCCGTCTGGATATAGTCCATGCCTGAATCCTTCAGCCCCAGCTCTTTGCCCTCTCGCCGTGTGGCGCTGACAATGCCTGCCGTCCCTGTGTTCTGCAGTGAAAACAGGCTACCCAAGGCCACCACGAACTCGCCAGCTCACAGGTCAGATGACTTTCCCAGCAGCAATACAGGAAGTTCAGTCTGCACGTGGGTGAGGAGGGACCAGATGGACAAATTAAAACTGGAATCAATCAGCATTTGTATACAATCCATATATGACATGGTCTCCACCATTTCGGCATTTATAATGCAAGAATCACCCACCCACCTAGTTTCTACAACTGCCTGAGTCTTCCTCCTTACACTCCAACTACCAGTAAACTCTCACTTGTTAAGATGATAGGGATCATCTCTAAAAATCTAAAATTGTTGCTTGTAGAAATTACAATAAGTAAAGCGCCAGTGAAGTAACTGATGAACATAAACTGACATTAGCAATTTACTTAGCACCATTCCAGCTCAGAAGTTTACAAAGTTAATAAGCCACGAACAGAAAGGAGGTCACCCAAAGCAGTGCTTCTCCTTAATGTGCATATGAATCTCAGTAGACCGGGGTAGGGTCTGAGTTTCTGTATTTCTAAAAAATTCTCAGATGATGTCAATGCTGCTGGGGTGCAGACCACACTTCGTATAGCAAGGAACTCAAAGCACTCCTTAGCAGCTTTGAATCCGTTACAATCATTTCCGGTGTTCTGAGACAAGCAGAGAAATAAGTTTCCCAGAAGCAGCATCTGTTGAAGAAGGAACTGAAGGAGAAAAAAAGACAGCTGGGTAGTTAATAAAAATTGTTACAGACATACAGACAGGCATGGAAGAAAATAAACAAAAGAAGGAGTGAAGAATAGAAAAAAGCAAACTAGAAAAAAAAAAAAAAAGTATATGCCAGGGAGAAAAGACATGTGGTGGGGTGGGGAAGAAAATATCAGCAAGTTGATGAAAATCCTCGAATCGCAGACTCACATTTGGCTCAGTTTTAATCAGGGCAAGATCCAATTTATGGTCAGTGTCCTTGACAGTGGCTTCATACTGGACCCCGCTCTGGAGCTCCACCTGGATCCGCTGCTGGTTCGTGAGGACGTGGGCATTGGTAACAATAAGCCCATCCTTAGATACTATGAACCCAGAGCCACTGGATGCAGGAATATCCTCACTGCTGAGAGGCGACCTGTCTCAGCAAGACAACAGCATAAGCAGAAGGAGGGCAAATCAGGGCATCCGCCATAGTCCGGAAGCATGGGAACCTGGCATTTATCAAACATTCTTTCACCACAGTTTCCTCAGACATTTTACTTTTCCCTGCCTGTTTTCATTCTCTCCACATGTAATTAGACTCTGTGTTCAATGTCCTGGCCGTCTCTTGGAAACAGGACTGAGAGCTGATTCCAACTCTGCTTTTCCAGGAAAAGCAGCACCCCTCTGCTTCAAAGACGACTAACCTAATCGTAATACTGGGGGCAAAAGTGGACCTAGTGCTACATTATCCAGCACCCAGGCAGGGAGGGAGTCAGAGAAGTCTGGTCCCGGCTTAGGTTCCACTACTAACTGGCCTTGTGACATAGGACAAGTTTCTCTTGCTCTCTGGGTTTGGGATTCCTTACATGCAAAAGAAGGGGCCGGGCAAACATCACCATCAAGGTGCCTTCTGGCTCTTACCTCTGACCTTGAACTTGTCTGAGAGAGAGGAGTAGCCCAGATTTGGAAGTCAGAATCTTTGTGTCTCTGCTCTTTGGCTAAACGGCCAACAGGCTATGCAACCTCTTTGAGCCGTTTGATTTCCTCACCGTGGTTTTTACAACTAAATTGTGCTGGGAGAGTGGTTGCGCGGGTCCAGGAGCAGGGAGGCGCTCGGGAACAGTTAGCCCGGGGTGCTTACGTCCTCCTCCGACCTCCTTTACCCGCCGAACAGCTGTAAGTGGACCACGGACGGGGCCACCGTCTCCACCACGGCGGCGATGAAGTTGTACGTGCTCCTGAGCCAGCCTGCGCTTCTGGTCCCCGCAAAGAGGTGCCCCATTCTTGGGGCGGGGGTGGGGGTGGGGGACGACCCTCGCTGCCTGACCGCATCAGGCATCACCTCTCTCCTCCCTCTCTCTCCGCTTTCCCTCCCCCTCCTCTCTTCGGTCTCCCACTGTGTATTCACTGCGGTCGCATGAGACCAGACCTGTCACGCCGATTTGAAAATAAAAGGGAATACGGCGGCCACCAGCTATGGGGAGGAAATTGGGGAGCAACCACATGGGAACCGGTAACCGGATACCTAAGGAGGGAAGAAAATCGGTACCTAGGAGGCGTTGAAATCGCTCTGGCGATGCAGCAGGGAGAACCGCGCGAACGGAACTCGCTCCTGAAGAGGGCGCAGAGAGCGCACGGCCCTCCGCTCACCTGGGGCTCCACAGTCCCCCACTTCCGCACCGCCACTGCCGGGAGCGCGCCACGGACGCGCGCGGCGCGGTTCTCGGCGCGGAGCGCGCACAGGCTGGGGTAGGTGCGACAGTCGCCGCAGCACGCGGCCGTCCCCCGCCGCCGAGGAGCCGGGGCGCGGGCGGCGCACGGCCGGCCGAGCGCCCCGCCGCAGGCCTCGCCCTCGGCCGCGGCGCAGACGCGGCAGCCCCCGCAGCGGTCGAGCCCCGGGGCCGTCCCCCGCCGAGCAGAGGGCGCAGCGGCGGGCACGGCGGCGCGGGCCTGGCCCTCCTGGCCTGGACTCCTTTCTCCGGAGCCGCGGGCAGCGGCAGCCACGTCAGGACGAACGGTCCGAGCCCGGCGGGCCGCAGCAGGGGTCTCGTCATCCCGCTCCCTTCCTCCTTCCTTCCCACTTTCCCTTGGACTCTCCTCTGGACCCGCAGCTGCTCTCAGACGAGCAACGCTTTCTCCGGACTGGGATGCCGCCTCCTTCAGCCCCCGACTTTAAGGGGCAGAACCTCGCAGCCCTCTCCACACACACCGGTTCCCCACCCCGCCCCGCGTCCCGGCCCTTCCCCCACCTCGTGGAATTCAGAACAGCAAGAACGGGGGCGGACTGACAACTCACCCACCCACGGACAGACGAGCAGAGTTAGGAAAACACACAACCTACTTCAGTATTTCACATGGTTTTTATTACAAAACAAGCGACAAAACCGTTTTAGAAAATTATTTTTTGCTACATACCAAGTAGGAGATCGCTTAAAATGAGAAGCGTAAGAGTTTCCATGCACTCAGCTCAGCCTACAAGTGCATTTCACAGCTGAAACATACTGGTTCAAAACACAGAATCATGCTACACCTTGGGGAGCAGCGGGGGAAGGGGTCAAACAGTATGTTTTTGGGCCAAATAATCTCTTTATTGAAACTCTACCGAGCATGAGTGACTGTAATTCACTACTGCAGGCAGTAACAGAGAGAAAAAGGGACTAAGGAAAAAAAGTGACATTGGTAGAAAAGATGTAATAAACTGTCCGTTTCTGACATGTTCAAACTTTATAAACAAAGCTGATTTGGGAAACTCAGTTTCCAAAACTCTGCTACTTCCTTATGTCTATTTATCTGGTTAACAGTGAAAACAAACATATCAAATCCCACTGTTCAACTACTGAATCTGCCACTTATTTATTGGATCCTTTCAGACCATATCAGAGCACAGTTACATTCAGGGGGAAAAAAATAAAACAACAAACCACCTTCTGCTTCAAGTGAACTATGAAGTTGGACTCTTTCTCATGGGAGCTCAGCATTCTATTCAGAAACAGATGTGTAACTCTGCAATTTTCACCTGAGATCGCTTTACCTGATGGACACCTTAGTACGACTGTCATCTCACAGAATGCAAAAGGCCAGACTACGTTCACCAGCCATCAGCTGACCCTGAGCAAGCAATTCCTTAACTTTCAAGAACAGTGGACAATAATAGTTCACCTATGGGGAGACACCTGAAGCTGTTACACACAGTGGGTCAAGACCATGTCAAAAGTCTTATGAAAACAGCACAACTCAGAGAACGTTTTTATTCCACACACACAAAAAAATGCAGTACCTTTTTTGGTTCCTGTTTTTTAAAAAACGAAACAAACAGATTTATTCCAGAGCCTCTGCACTTAACTACTAATCGATATTGCATCCCCTCCTTGTTTTTTCCATTTGGTTCCATTTTTCACATTTGAAACCAAATGCTTTGGTCGTATATGCACCATCTTTGGCTCACATGTGTAGTGACATTAAAAGGTGTGATGTGAAATTAACCAGAAGCTAAGAAATATGAGCACGAAAGGAATTCTGAAATAAGATTTGGCAATGAGAATGCCTCTAAGCTTCATTGAAGATAATTATATTTATCTGGTGTTGGAACTACATTAACAATGCTCTAACTTGGAATTCCCAAGTATCTGCCAACTAGAATCCTTGTTCCCCCTCTATTATGATAATACAATCTGGATTTATAAGCATGTTTAATTTAATACATTCTCAAAATAAACCCTACTGAATAAGAAACATATCAGCTTACCATAATGGCCAATTAATTTAGCAGTAGTAATCGAGCAGAGAGTTTATTTAAAAGAGGAAGAAATGGGTAGATTTTCACAAGTTAAACACCAGCAGATGACATCTTTCCATGAGTCAGGGAATGTTTACAGAGATCTCAGAAGGTCCTAATTTATCTTTGTTAGTTCCATTTCTCTGTGCACTTTCTTTCACCTAGCCAAAGAATTTTCTTGAGGAAAATCTGAAGATGAAACCTGAGACAAAGAGCTTTAAGAATTCGTAATGCCTTCTTGAAACCAGGCTACTTGAAGTATGTTGTCACCTTGATCACTCATAAATAAATAACCTCCAAACCAGGGATTTCTAAGGACAAAAGTATACAGGAGGCTGCAGAAAAGAGGGGAAAAAAAGAGAGAGAGAGAAATCTAGAGCAGATTTCCTTTTTTATACCAGGACCACTAGGGCAAACAATTTAAGTGAAAGTTATCTCCAAAGAAGTACGGTCAAGAAAAGTTCTCAACCTGACACAGACTTCAAGGACACTACACTGCCCGAAACAAACAGAAGATTTCCCTCAAGCCACTAAGGATTTTCTGATCACAGTCTCCTCCTCTACTCGTTAATTCTTAATTTAAAGACAAAATTAACTGATCTAGCTGATACAGAGTTCTAGATAGAACTGAGTTAAGCTCCCTCCCTTTAGGGAACCTTGGTAGCAGTTCACCACATAAGCTGGACAGATAATTTCTCCCAGGGACCCTGGAAATAGGATCTCTTGTCAAATGGAAGAAGGTACATCCTAAAATACGGGATGGGAAATACAATCTATGCTCTTCTACCTGGGAAATCTCTAACCAGCAATGCATAGGCTGTAAATCAATGTTTCTCTGCACAGTTTCTATTTTATTAAAGATATAAATATCTCTCAAGATTATCTTTGTTATCTCCTCACTGTTATGAACGTAGAACCTCGTCAGACGACAAGATTTCATCATGCAAGTACAGACACGAGGCATCACCCAAAGGGCAACACAAAGAACAGAAAGAAAGCAAATCTGCCAAGGTATACAATATACAGCACTTAAAATCAGACTACTATCGGCCCATGAAAGAAGAGCTGAGAGGCAAGAACCCAAGATCATCTGTCTTTGCGAAAAGAGACCTTTTCTTCTGTCTGGAAAACATGGATCAAAAATTTTTAGCTGGATGAACTCAACTCCATCTCTTCCCAGCACCTGCTTTAAAGCAACTCTCAAACTCTAAAATACAGATGTGATGTATCACACAAGTGAATTATCATACACTCATCAACCCTCCACACATTCCAAGTAATGCCATATCAAGGGCAATGTCTGTTCTGTTCTCAGCACCGAACACTGATAAACCCATCCTAAGGGCCTGACACAGCAACAGGGTGGGCAGGTCTGTCTCTCACAGCGACAGTATTTGGGGTGAAAGAACATCTCAAAGAGAACAGAGTAATTCCCGAAACTGGCTGATGCACTGGGGTTGGGAGTGCATTCTCCCATTCCTTACAAGAGGTCCCTATTTCTTCCCCTATGGAGGTCCCCTGGAGGTTGGGGGAATCTGCCCTGGTCGACATTCAGGGCCCCCCCCCCGACCAGCGCCCAGATTTTAACACCTCCCCTCAGAATGTATCCCGGCCAAGCTGGAGCCTGGGTGTCCCCCACTGGTTCCCCCAGTTTCAGTTGGGTGAGTTCCCACCCTCCTACTTCACAGTCAAACTTCAGCCAATGAACAGCAATAGGATAAAACCAGATGACTGGCCTCAAGGTTCTGCACCCAGCCTGAAAACAAAGGGAAGAAACTAATAAGACAAGGACAAGGAACAAAAACTTGGTTAGGGATGAAATTGGACTTCCAACCTCCACTCACCAGGTGGACCATGGAAGAGTCAAGGTAAGAGGCACCCTGCTCTCCACTGAGCAAGCCTACAGGTCTAACCTGGTGACTTTCCCGAATTAAAAACACTGCATTGATTTAAAAAAAAAAAAAAAAAACAGCTGGATGCTCCCCTCCCCCAAGAGAGCTCCACAAGGATGTGAGTGCCAGGAAGGCCTCCGACTGTCCTCCAGCAGGTGGAGAAACTGAGTCACGGCCCCTTGGACATCTGAGTCCTCCCCTTCCCTCCTGGGCACTGCGCCTCATCACACATCAGAGGTCCGTATGTTTTCATCATCGAGGTTGAACACAAATGGCTTCTCCTTGGGGTGCTGGGGCTCCGATCTGTGCCTTATCCGGGAGCTGGGCAGCACCCCAGAAGTACTGCTCTCCCCAAGTCGAGGCATGAAAAAAGAGTCCTCAGGAGTCTCTTCAGTGGGCAGCAGCTTTTCCCCAGCCTGGGGGACAGGTGTCCAGGGCTGCCAGGAGGAAGCCACGGAGGGAGCTTTGCAGAGGGCCCTTCTCTCCTCCAGAGGTGGCCGCCCTCTGCACAAGACAGAGTTGGGCCCCCCTGAGAGGCTGGAGCTTCCAGAGCGGGTCAAAGAAATGGATCGAGAAAAGGACATTTCCTACAAAAATAAAAGGCGGGAAAAAGAGGAAAGTAAGAGTTTTCCTGACAATGTTTATCCCAAGGTCCCAGGAAGAGGACCCCCTCCAGGATCACCACCCTCACAGGCCCAGAGACACGCGTCTACAGAAATTAAATATGGCCAGCAGCATTCACCCCAGAAGTGTCAAGGTCTGCCTGGCAGGGAGATGTGCAGGACACATCGGAAGCTCTGGTTCTCTATCCAACCCTACCTCACTTCCTCCAACTACTGAAAAAAACAAAAAATAAAAATCTGTACCCAAACCAGTCAAAAGAGAAAAACAAGCAAGACAGCCCGGGGCTTCAGCTGCATCTGGGCACCGGGCTGCTTCCCTACATCACCAAATAAAACCCACCCACTCGGGACAACTCACGAGGTTGACAGTGACTGTGAACAGGAAGGAAGTGACTTACTCTGGGGTGGCACTTGAGGGCCTGGACAGCTGCCCCGATCTCCTTAATCCAGCTGTGCATGTCTTCTGGACTGTCTGCCTGCAAAACACCCACCACACTTACAGAGACACGTCTGGCACTGTGATTTCAGCTTTCACGCCTGTGACTCAATTCTAAGTTCGTAAAATCACACCATTAGAGCTGGAAGGGATCTCAGAGACCATCCAGACCAGTGGCTTTCAGACTTCTGAGGACATTCTTTTCCCCAGAAAAATTATATTTGTCACCCCATAAATAAAAGGGCTCAAAGTGGGGCAGAGGTTGTGACAGAGGGAGAGCTTAGAGGCCCATCCCTACTGAAGTCCCTCACCCCCCTCTGGAACACAATCGGCCTGGCCTCACCCCCTGTTTTACAGAAAAGGAAAATGAAGCCCAGAAAGCCAGAGCCCAACGTTTAGGGCTGGTCTAGATTCCAGTTCTCCTGACACCCAGTGCAGTCATCCTTCTACCCCAGCTATCCCAACAAATGATCCCACTTTGAGCTCCAGTCCCATTAAAACCAAATCCTCCCAGACAGGTGGTTTCTCCAGGAATAGGGCTTCTCTCAAAGCACAAGGGATCTGGGTCTGTCCTGGGTCCCATCCAGGCCTCAAGAGTTGCTAGACTTGCAGCACCAAGCTCACCAACAAGTAGGGAAGGGCACAGGCGAGGCCTTAAAAAGTTCTTCCCTCAGAAATACCGAGCAACCCCAGAAGGGGGCAGCAGCGGCTCTGTGAAGAAAGAGGAAAATCAGAAGCCAAGCCACAGTAGGTAGAGCCCTGGGAATTCTCAGTGCTTTCCAGCTTTACAGGAGCTGAATCCAAGTGAACCTGGCAAACATTTACTGAGGCCTTACTCAGGGTGACACGTGACATCAGGTACCAGGCACACAGATGGGACCAAGACTGAATGAAGCCTTGACCTCCAGAAACGTTTTATTAGTTAACCTCTCTCTGTCGCCCTGCACCTTCCCCTGATAGAGCCACCCAAAATTACCAGCGTGCATCTGCATGCCCGTGCATACATGAATGCAAACACCACACACGCTGGCCTGCAAAATTCTCCACATATACCCCTCACTCTCCCCATCCCTAGAATGATTCTTTCCCTTTGCATTATATCAAGGTAATACATGACCAGTCTTTTTAAAACCCTCAAATTTGCATGCTTACCCCATCCTGTCCCCAAACCAACCCTCCCTGGTTAGGTGTGTGCAGGACACTTACAAGGGGAACAGTTTCACACCCTGGCACGCTGGGCCAAAGAGAGGCAGCAACGGTGCCCCTGGAGAAGACCCCTCTCACGCACCATAGCTGCAAACTCACCTGCCCTCTCTCTTCCCTGGACTTTTCTCTTCCCAGTTACCTGACAACCTGGTGGTTTCCCAGAAAGAGAAATCCATCCCTAGTCTAAAAAGATAACCGGGACACGGTCTCCAAGATTCTTCCAGAAGGTATTTTACTGATAGCAGGGCTAGCTAACCTGTTCCACAAGTAGAACTATTGGGAAAAATTAAATGAACTCATTTAGGTAAGGCAGTTTGAAAGAGCCTAATACACAGAAAGGGCTTCATATTAGTCATTATTGTTGTTGTTGTTATTATTATATGAGGGACACAGATGAAGCCTTAAATTCCAATATTATAAATATGTTTGCTGCCTTCTCCCTACAACTTTTTAATTCCATTTTCTTCATACTCAAACTGTGGATAATTCTTACCTAAAGGATCAAATTGTTGGGATCAAGTAAGATAACATACTTTTTCTTAATATGCTTGTTTATCAGCCCCATAAAATGGTTTACAGACGGGAGGGTGACCAGGTCTTCACTGCCTACCTGTTTTCTATTGTATTCTTTTCAGCCTTCTTAAGGATTTCTGTACACATGTCTATATTTCTTGAAGTCTCTCAGATTCCTTGGGTTGTTTGAAAAGATATTAATAATTATTTCTATTATAAATAACATTATCCATAAATGCTAATGTCTATTTCTACAGTTAGGAAATTTAAAGTAAAACTGTATTATATCTCAATTCACCTTAGTTATATTGCTTTTCTCTGGATAAAGTGACCAATTATACATTGCATTTTCCAATCTCAGTTTCAAAAGAATACTTTGCTAATTAAAAAAGTTTTCAACTGTAAGCAGAATAATATTACAGCATGCTTTTTTTTTTTTTTTTGCGGTACACGGGCCTCTCACTGTTGCGGCCTCTCCCGCTGCGGAGCACAGGCTCCGGATGCGCAGGCTCAGCGGCCATGGCCCACAGGCCCAGCCACTCCGCGGTATGCGGGATCCTCCCGGACTGGGGCACGAACCCGCGTCCCCTGCATTGGCAGGCGGACCCTCAACCACTGCACCACCAGGGAAGCCCCAGTATGCTTCTTAATTTATGTAGAAAGTCATATTCAAATTCTTAATTACTTCACTAGTCAATTACATTATAGAGATGACCCTGGAAACAAAAAGTAATATAGAAGACAGCAAGCTGCAACTCTGGGGGCGTTATATGGAAAGAGCATCTGCATGTAAATTATTGTCATTGTTAAGTAAATTAAAATAATATGAGCAAAAGATAATTAAAGGGAAGTTCTGTAAAAAAAATAATAATAAGATAACATATTTGGGGGAGAAGAAAGGCTATTTTGAATTGGAATGAGATGGTGGCAATTAAATTGTCCATCAGCAGAATAGCATTTCTTACAGATTTTCCTTCTAGGGGAACAGAAGTTGATTTGGTGGGGAAATGTGAGAAGACAGAGGGAAAGATGGGGATGGGAGCTAAGGGAGAGACAAAGGTCTCCCGCATCACACAGGAGATGGAATGTTTTCATTAAACAGATTGCAAGACCCCCATGATGACAGTCCAATAGTCAGTTTCCAGGGCTTTTTAAGCTACTTTTAGCCCTTTTATCACCATAGCAAAAAACGCCCCACCCACAAGCCACAGACCACCTATCTGACTGTCGTTTGAGACAGTCAACAAACACTCACTCCTTCTCTAGGAGCAATCACTCAACCAACCTAGGTGTGCTCACCCCAGCTCCACTTAGCAAGGAATCCTGAATCAGAGGACACTGGGAACCACCTGACTTAACTGCTGGAAACTCACACACAAGAATCCAGATCCTCTAGAATTCGTTCAGATCATTTCCAATTCTCTAATATAAACAATACTGCTATTCACATCTTTGTGTATAAAGCTTTTTTCATACTTAAGATTCTTCAGCTCCCAGGGAAGTTGCTTAAGAGTACGCATGCTTTTATTCTGGGGGGGGGGCCCACACCACATGGCATGTGGGATCTTAGTTCCGGGAATCGAACCCACGCCCCCTGCAGTGGAAGTGCAGTCTTAACCACTGGACTGCCGGGAAAGTCCCAGAGTATCCATGCTTTTAAGGCTCTTCTTATATATGGCCAGAGTGATTTCTAGTCAATAATATAGATTTCATTTAAACATATATATGTATGTATGTATATTACATGCATCCTTGTTAGAATTAAATATTACAGTTAAAAAACTTTTTTTTATTTTTTGGCCACAAGGCGAGCTTGCAGGATCTTCGTTCCCCAACCAGGGAGGGAACCTGGGCCCACAGCAGTGAAAGCGTGGAGTCCTAACCACTGGACTGACAGGGAATTCCCTTTTATTTTTTATTTTTTTGTTGTTTTAAACATGACAATTTTTAAAAAATCTTTGCTAATATGATGGGAAAAACAATTAAATCTCTTTCTTAAAACATTTAGTATTTGAGACGGAAATTGTTTGCTAATTACATTTCTTCCCTAATCCTCTAATTCCGTTTAAGGACATTTTTCTGTCAGATAACCCAGGTAGTGAACCCAGCCATGAGGATAATAAACAGTAGTAAACATTATTTTAATGTTCACTAATGTTTAAAACATTATTCAAGGGGCTTCCCTGGTGGCGCAGTGGTTAAGAATCCACCTGCCAATGCAAGGGACACGGGTTCGAGCCCTGGTCTGGGAAGATCTCACATGCAGTGGAGCAACTAAGCCCCTGCACCACAGCTACTAAGCCTGCTCTCCAGAGCCCTCGAGCCACAACTACTGAGCCCACGTGCCACAACTACTGAAGCCTGCACGCCTAGAGACCGTGTTCCGCAACAAGAGAAGACACCACAATGAGAAGCCCGCGCACCGCAATGAAGTGGCCCCTGCTCGCCGCAACTAGAGAAAGCCCGTGCACAGAAATGAACACCAAACGCGGCCAAAAATAAATAAATTTATTAAAAAATATATATATATATATACTATTCAAAGAGAAAAGCAGATACTGATCCCACACGAGAAGAAATAGGATATTACATTACTGAGATCACAGTTTAAATCTCTATTAGTAGTTTTAAGAACTGGACTCCACTGGCAACAGAAATTAAGTGAAACCTCAAAAATTATATGCAAAAATTACAGTGTATGTGTATATCTATCTTTTATGGAAAGCCTGTGCTTAGCTTTCATCAAAAACTCAAAAATATCTTAAAACCACATTACAAAGGTAGCTCCATGAGCCAGTAAAACACGGAGCTGAAATCCACCCACCCTGTGGTGAATTACTAAGAGACTAGAAAAAAAGCCTTGAAACTCAACAAGAACAGGAAGGGAAGTGCCAAGCTTATACCTTCCTCTCTTCCTGGTCTGCTTAAGTGTGTACATGTTTCTGGTGCTTGGTTCAAAAGGAAAAGTAGGGTTTCTGTCCTTGAGGGCAGTTTTTGAGGTGAGAGGAACAAAGGGTATTAAATGCGTCACTGCAGTCTGTGGTTTTATTGCAGTCCAATGAGCTTTGATTATCTGGAATGAGACCGGTATCATAACATTTTCAGTGGTTTCAAGCACTGAGTTCTAATGGGCCATCAATAAAAGGCTTCCCATATGTACCTCTGGTTACTTCCATTGCAGCTGTCCAAAAGCTTTAGGCATCTCCTTCTTAATCTTATTCCCAACCTCTGCAGCCCTCCCTTTCCAACAAGCTAATAACCCCTACCTCTCCCCAAGAACCAATCCCACCTTTAGATACAGCCCTGCCACATATGATCCATTCAGAATGCAAAACTGACCAATGGATTTTAATGTAAGAGTATGAAAGTTTATTGATACCAGCTTCTGATTCCACACAGCACCTAAACATTAAGAAACTACAATTTGTCAAGTTTCGGTATAGAATCAAAGAAGATCCACAATTATCTGAAAGAGCTATTAAAATATCCCTTTATTCCAAATACATGTCTCTGCGGGGCCAGATTTTCTTCATACTCTTCCATCAAAACAACATATGGCCACAGACTGAGTGCAGAAGCAGATATGAGAATCCTGCTGTCTTCTAATAAACCAGCCATTAAAGCGATTTGCAAAAATATATTTTAAAAATGCTACTCCTGTTGCTTTTTTGTTTTAGAAAGCGTTATTTTTCATTAAATGTTACTTGTGTTAACATAAACGAGTTTATAGTTGTTGTTTTTAAATGAGTAAATACATATTCTTAAAGAGTTTTAATCTCTACTCTTCTCCAACCTTCTATTCTGAGTTTTGGTGCTATACACAGATTTGTCCATTTGCTCATTTATTTATTCAGGGGGATGTGAGTGTTCTTTTATCCTAGAAATGTGGGAGCAGATGGCAAAGTAGGACAGAAATGATGATAAGGTCCTGGTCAATGTGCAGACACTCGTGCCAATGATGCAGTGTCTTCTGAACTTTTTTTTTTTTTTGGTTGACGTTCATGTTTCCCAAATCACTACCTCCAGTCCAAGGCTCTGTTCTAGACTCTTAACCCCAGCATAATCGCTCCCTTTACCCCACATCTAATCAACTCTCAAGTCCTGGAAAGGACTTATCAATAGCTTCAAATGTTTCCACTTTTCTCCATCCATCCAAGTTCAGGCTACCTTTATCTCTCACTGAAACCATTACAACAGCCTTCCAGCTGCCCTCCCTGGCTCCTGTCTAACCCTTTTCTTACCTGTCCCCTACATTGCACCGGACAGGACATTCACCGCCAGCATCCCATCAACAGGACCAGGACCGAGGGCTCTCATCTCCACTTTACAGATGAGGAAAACAAGGCTCTTAGGTCACTTGCCCAAGTGGGATTTTTAGGAGGCAGATCTGATTGGGTCACTCCCCTAGCTTAACCTCCAAGGACCCTAACTCCCAGGATAAAATACAAGCTCCTGAACAAGGCCCACAGGCCACAGGCCCTCCATATCAGCTTCCCAGCACCTGTGCCCCTTTCATCTCCAAGCTTTTTTAACCCCTGCTGTTTGCTGTTCCCTCTGCCTGGGCCACTCTTCCGCCAAGGGTTTGGCTTCGGCGTATCTTCCTTCAGGAAACCTCCCTTGACTCCCTGAGACTGGGGGAGGTACCCTTCTTGGGAGTTCCCATGGCAACCACTACTCACTCTAAGGGTAGCCCTTCTCACACTGTTTTCTTGTTTTGTTTTTTGTTGTTTTATTCCCCCACTCCCATGAGTGAGGTTGTTTCATACTTGTAACACATTTAGGTTCTTTGGTCATATTCTGCATGCCATGCTAGGATCACCTGACCTCCTAAATGATTTTTTAGATTTGCATATATTAAAGGTTTATGCTCTGTGCTGTGAAATTCGATGTCACACATCTGCCACTGCAGTATCACACGGGACAGTTTCGCTGCCCCAAAAGCTCCCCTGTGTTCATCTCTCCAACACGCCCTCCCCACCTCAGCACACTGTTCTAGCTGCCTATTTACCTATCTCCCTCTCAGGTTCAGGATCCCCTCTGTTGAATGCGGGGTCCCCAGGATGAGGCAACGCCCCATCTGTCTAGTCCAAGAACTGGAAGCTCTTTTGGTGCACCGACAGCTCAAACATGTCCTTGAATGGCCGTGGAGGCTGCTCTAGGGCCCCAGCAGCACTTTTCCACAGCTCTTACCAGATGCTTGTCTAAATGAATGGAACACACAGATGCCTCAGGCTGCTAGCATGTCTGCTGGGCTCAGGAAGGGGGACCCGTTCAGAGGGACCTGCTGCTCACGAAATGGGTGAGGGTCGACCTCACGAAAGGGAGGGTGTTGAGTGGGGAGCGCGCGGGGAACCCTGAGAAGCTTTGGTCGGGGAGCCCCACATTTCAACCAACACACTCCATGGCAGTCTTGGCGCTAGACGGGCACCATCGCCGTGAGGCTGCAGGAATCAAGGCACGCTCTGTGGACGGCTAGGCAGGCTGCAGCGAGGGCCTGGCCTTGAAAGTCTAGGCCATGCTAGAGGCTAGAAATCTGCCTTTCTAGCTCCTGTGATTTGAGAAGGAGTTGGGAGAACTCCAAGGCTGTGGGTGGAGGGGAGATGCTTCTGAGAGCTGAACCGTCAGAGTCCAAACAATCGCTTTCTCTGTGCAGCTGGCTGTGCACCTGGTGCCCGCACAGGGCCCTCTGTGCTTTTGTCCTTCCGCACACAGTGCTGTCCACACATAGACGGGGCTTATAAATACCCTCCAAGGGAGAAGTGAAACCACTGACCAGTTCTCCTTTTCTCTGCTGAGCTGGCGCCCAGCAGCTACGAGCAGCTGGTACAAACTCACATTCCCCAGTGTAGCGGCTCAACCCGTTCTTATTATTTTACGGTTGGGAAGCTTTTGGCAAACATCCTGTTTAGAATAAAATGGGAGTCGGACTGACTATCGGGGGCTAAATTTACCACCTAGAAGCTTCGAACAAAATAAAAGAGAAAGCAAAGGGAAAGGCAGGCCTACAAGTACACCACCCACAGAGAAGGAACGTCAGCGTCTTCTGGCAGCGAGCTTTTTACCTGCACGTAGAAGGTCCTGGAGCTGGTTATTATTTCAAACAGGTTGTCCCTCATCAGCAGGTCGCTAGACAGAGAAAGAGATAGAAAGTTACCAGGCATGCTGGTCACCCGTTGAGGACTTGATTCACCCTGAGGCAGGTACCCGTGCCCCCTACCCTAAAAAGGGGGTTCACAGGCCATTCCTCTTGCTGCCCTGCCTCAGAAGGCATTACAGAGTTTCCTCTAGCTTCACTTCCTGGAGGGTCTCAAGTGCTTTAACAATCCCCATGGATCCCCCTCCCCAATACACACCACCACCAGCTCTAACAGGACAAAGCTCCTTGGCCTCCAAAGCCTCTTGCCTCACATGCACCACACCCCACACCGTCTACGACTGTGTGTTTCTTTAGTGGCTCAGAGGTGCTGATAAAAAGTGCTTGGTGAGAAGTACTGTTTCAAGTGTTTTTATTTGAGGGTCAGGTAGATGAAAATTTTATTGGTTTTATATATATACACAAGCACACACTGTTCTATGTCCATTATGCTCCATTAAATATATATTTTATATACATATATATTATTAAGAGATGGACATATAACAGTATATTTGTAAGATAAAAAACAGTATATTCATTTCAGGTGTACAACATGATTTGATATTTGTATGCACTGCAAATGATCACTGTCTCGTACGTAACACTCAAATTTTTTTTCTCGTGATGAGATTATAGCTTTTAAGATCTACTCTCTTAGCAACTTTCAAATATAGAATACAGTGCTATCAACCACAGTCACCGTGCTGCACATTGCATCCCCAGGACTTACTGATTTGATAACTGGAGGTTTGTATCTTTCGATCCCCTTCACCCATTTCGGCCACTCCCCCACCCTTCGCCTCTGACAACCACCAATCTGTTGTGTTATTTGTTTGTTTGGTTTTTTTTGCGGTACGCGGGCCTCTCACTGTTGTGGCCTCTCCCGTTGCGGAGCACAGGCTCCGGACGCGCAGGCTCAGCGGCCATGTCTCACGGGCCTAGCCGCTCCGCGGCATGTGGGATCTTCCCGGACCGGGGCACGAACCCGCGTCCCCTGCATCGGCAGGTGGACTCTCAACCACTGCGCCACCAGGGAAGCCCTTCTTTGTGTTTTTTAATGTGTTATATCATCCAGTCTTCCCAACAATCCAACGAGGCAGTAAGACTTTCCCTGCTTTATGGATGGGGAAACCCAGGCTCAGAGAGGTTCCATGGCTTGTCCATGGCACCGGAGTAAGGAACCGGCAGAGCCAGGATTTGAAACTGGGTCCAACTCCAGAGTCTATGCTCTTAGTTACTCCACTACCAAGTGCCTCTCCTAAGGGACCTGAATCTCTTATTTCCAAAGCCTTTCTCCACCCACAGAGCAACTGCATCAGCTTCACTAAATCCCTGCTCTCAAAAGGGGACTGGATGCTCAAGAGGAAAAAGGGAAGGAGAGAGTAGACCACTTGAAGATGCTTCAAATTGGGTGTGAGGTTTGGAAGAGGGACCCTACTTCCGCAAGGAAGAAGGCGAGAGGTAGCTGATGCTCAGCCACAAACCTCCAATCAGCCGAAATTATTTACAGGGTGAAATGCCTGCTCTGTGTATCCAGTCACTGTGGGGAACATATAAGGAGTAAAAGATCTAATTCCTTCCCCATGAAAGAACATAAAAAAGCAAAATTTAGAGTCAGATGTTAGACTGCGTGTTATATGCCAAGAGTTAGAATAATTCCAAGAAAGGACTAATCACAGGGGGACTTCCCCGGTGGTCCAGTGGTTAAGCCTCTGCACTTCCACTGCAGGGGGGCCCGGGTTTGATTCCTGGTTGAGGAACTAAGATCCTACATGCCATGTGGTGTGGTCAAAAAATTAAAAAAAAAAAAAAAAGAAAGAAAGAAAGAAAAAGAAAGAAAGGACTGATCACAGGCAGGGCTGGCTTTAGGAATCAGGACTTGGAAGGAAATGGCAGGTGCACTGCCAGTGACATGGGCACCTGGGCAAAGGAGGAGCATGAGACTAAAGCCCCACATGGGCGGGGACAGCAATCAGGGGTCAGACAGACCTGGGGCCCAATCCTGACTCCACTGGGAAAAGGTATTTTAGGAATATTTTTAAAACTTTGTGAGCCTTTCTACCCCAACTGTAAAATGGAAATCAGAAGTCCTCCTCTACCAAGCTTCTTACCACAAAGATCAGTTATAAGTTATATAAGGCATCTCATAAGTTATATGAGGCACCTGGTACAATGAATGTCACAGAGTGGTCATCTGAAATGCATTTCATTAGCTATTATAATTACTTTCTGCGTATCTGAGTGGAGATGGCTCTTCTTTCTGGATAAGATGGTTTAACCTTTTAAACTATTCATACACATGCAGCACAATCATGTAATCTACTACAGGGGAGGTAAAAGCAAACAGGGAGGAAATCCCCACCCTTTTCATATCTACTTCTCAGGCTACATGTGGCCTTTCAATTCAACTCAATTCAACAAAACGTTAACTGACTACTCAGATGCCCTAACCCCCGTGACTGGGTTTGGGAGACCCCAGTCTCACAGGCCTGGAACCTGCAGGGCCTCGGCAACTTCCTTCCCCGAGGATCTTCAACTCCCTCAATTCTTTTCCTCGGAGTTCAGTCTGACTCTGGCTCAGGCAAAGTGCAAAGCGCTCTTAGGGACGAACATTATCTGGGTTTCCTAAGCTGCCCCAATACACCCATCAACCTGCTCGGGCCTCCAGGGTCAGGAACAAGCCTCATCTCTCCTCCACCCACTGTCACCTCTGGAGCCACACTTCTGCAACTTCCACCTGTAGCACCTTTCACGAATGATAATCTGTCGGTGGGAACTTCCCTCATCTTCCATGCTCTGCAACTGCCGTTTGCAAGGCTCACAGCAGTCCCTGCTTCCTTGGGCCACGAAACGCCTCGTTTTCATGCAAGACCCTCCCATGCTTTCATGTGAGAACAGTCAGTCTGCTGCTAACAGCTTCCCTGGGGATGCAGGCTCTGCATGCACAGTCCGTGGGACGGAGATTCCATATAGTGCCCCTACAGACTGCAGACTGAGGGCCAGATGAGGACTGCTGATGCCCGGATGCCCTTGGGTCTCTAAAGTTTGGTTCCAGGGGCACCTGTATGGGTGTTGGATATGGGAGAGCGCTCAATGAGGCCCCAGGTCCCAAACTCGTCCTACGCTCTGTGGCACTGGAAAGGTGACCATTTCCTAGTGGAAAGAGGAACACATTAAAAATACTTCCTCGTCCTGCCCGAGAGCATTGCTGTGAATCATCCCCATATTAAGAAGACCTCAGGGACTTTGTCAAAATGAGGAGAGGAGAAAGGCGTAACAAGTTCAGGGCAGAGGCATGGCATAAACAGGGGTCTGAGCAGATGCACTGAAAAGCAAGTGACTAAGGGCACAGTCCCCCTCCACCTCTGAGCACAGTCCTCCGGTGAGATGAGCAGCTGACACCTGAGAAGCACCTCTCCTTTGTTCTATATCCTTTCTTTTTCTCCATCAGAAAAGTATCACATAGGCTCATTTCAGGAGTGAGAGTAAGGGGATGGGAAGAGGATAGGTTTGCCCAGCGCCATTTCACAGCTGCGGCAGCTTGGATGTGGAGAGTCAGCCACAGATGTCAAGGAGACAACATCTTCCTGCTCTTGGAAGAAGGTTCTGGTATAGAACCTCAGAAGGGGAGTAACAGAAGAGTTAAGGCTGAGACGAAGTGAGAGAGTGACATGGACTTACATATACTACCGTAAAAGAGATAGCTAGTGGGAAGCAGCCGCATAGCACAGGGAGATCAGCTCGGTGCTTTGTGACCACCTAGAGGGGTGGGATAGGGAGGGTGGGAGGGAGACGCAAGAGGGAGGGGATATGGGGATATATGTATACGTATGGCTGATTCACTTTGTTATACAGCAGAAACTAACACACCATTGCAAAGCAATTATACTCCAATAAAGATGTTAAAAAAATAAAGAAGAGTTAAGAGGGCACACGGAGTTCTGACCAGAGAAGAATAAGCAGAGACAATTACCCAGACTTGACCAAACACTCGTGGGTCTTGAGAACATCCTTGAGGAATATGGTACGCAGTGGTTCTCGGTCCTGGGGGGAAACAGAGAGAGAGTGCATGAGGCTGTCAGCCCGACGTCCAGACCAGGCAGCCATCATCATCGGAGACGACTGGCTGAAACCAGGTGGCAAACAAGACACGGTCTCAAAATAATCAAGAGAGGAAAGAAATCTAAGAAGATGCTCTGTGGCCCTGACCACGAAGGCAGGGAGTTAAGGCCACTTTACATCACCGTGAAGATGCGCACACCAGAAGGACGGAGGTTAGACACAAGCACCCCCGGAGTCTGTGTGCCCACATCTCTGCTCGGACACACACACGTGGGTGTGACTCCTGTGCCTCTGCCCTCCACGGCCTCTCAGGTGGGCCCCAGAGTGACTACAAACCTGCTCACACTTGAAGTAGCAGATGGTAAAGTCGTCCAGCGCAAAGAAGCGCCGTTTCCAGCTCTTGCGCTGAAATAAAGGGTAAAGAGCAGGATGTTAGAAGAGTTCCCAGCATTCCCGGGGGTGCGTTCGGGTTCTAAGCTCCTGGGGACCCCACCCCACCGAAGCCAGGCTCCCACGTTGGGGGTCAGGGGCAAGGACTTCTTCTCATGGGGCGACTCCTCGGATCACCTCGAGCTGCAGGGCGGGAGCTCTCCCCACCCCAGCCTCTCCCTGGTTTGGGCGGTTTGGGCGTGACTGGCTCCACGCTCCTCCTTGCAAACTGCCCTCCCCTCTGCCTCGCCCACACCCACTGGCTCCCGGGGTCCCCAGAACCTCTCCCAGCCCCCGCATGGACACTCACCACATTCCCTTGCTTCACACAATAGCCGCTCTTAATGAGGGGGGGCCCGGTGGGGACACGGCAGCCTGTCGTGGGGATGTAACTCTGAGACCTTCGAAGGATGGCGTGGGAGCCGGGCTCACTCCCTTCCTGCCCATCCCCACCGTTCTACAAGGAAACAGCTGCAGGATTAGCGCCTCCCCGTCCTGACGCAGCCACACCCCTGACCCCACCCTCTCCGGCCAATCATCTCTTCCTCTTGGGCCACGACGGCAGTCAAGTGAGAAATAAACCAGATGGGTAAGCCGGGACGAAGTGAGAGAGTGGCATGCCCTTATATACACTACCAACTGTAAAACAGGTAGCTAGTGGGGAGCTGCCGCATGGCACAGGGAGATCAGCTCGGTGCTTTGTGTCCACCTAGAGGGGTGGGATAGGGAGGGTGGGAGGGAGACGCAAGAGGGAGGGGATATGGGGGTGTATTTATATGTATAGCTGATTCACTTTGTTATACAGCAGAAACTAACACACCACTGTAAAGCAATTATACTCCAATTAAGATGTTAAAAAAAAAAAAAGAGAGAGAAAGAAACCATAAAAAAAACCCTTTGGCTTTGCCCGGGAAGGCACTGTAGGGGTGCGTTCACAGACCAAGGCTGGGGAGGTTGGGCAGACCCGGGAGAAAGGGAAGACTCTGAACGCAAACCGGACGAGGCCAAGGGACAGTGGGGCTTGTTTCCAGCCATCCTCGACCCCACTTCTCACGGCGTTCACAAGTGCCGGTCCCCGTGGATGATGCAGAGCTGTACTGCCACAGAGCTTCAGATGCGGTGGCCTCAATTTCTGCACTGCCGGTATTTTCTTGACCACCCCATGTGCACTGGCTCCGCTACCCTCACCCCTTCCTCGGTCCAGCCCTTCTGTCATGTCACTGACACACCACGGACACCCCCGAAGCCCTCCACCCTCTGGCAGCCCCAGGCCCCAGCACCTGGTTGATGGGCGTGTGTACCACCACGCCTCCGATGATCTCTGTCTTGTAGGCCACCTGGGGCTTCTTCTCCAGGGCCAGAGGAGTTGCTAGGCTCTTGACAACTTCGGTCGTCAGGGGCAGGTTCCCAACTTTGGGTACCTGGGAAGAATGACAGAACAGTTAACAGGGAACAGAAGGCCTAGGAAAAGTTGGGGCAGGCAACAGCAGGAAGGGGGAGGGGAGGAAAGCTAATGTACGAAATTAGAGCACGACGCCCCTCTCCCCGCTACCCTTCCATCCATCCAAACCTGTATATGAGGAATTCAGCAAGCCACGCCCACCCCACGCACACGCACACCCACTCAACCAATGTACTGAGCACCTACTATGAGTCAGCCCTTGCCTGGCTAGAGACCAAAGGTAAAACAGCAAACACTGACACGTGTCCTGCCCTCACACCACATAGGTGCTGATCAGGGAGACTGACCAAAACTACAGAGCAAGACTAGCAATCAGAGTGATTACAAATCGTGGCGAGTGCCGTGATGACGATAAACAGGAGCTGGGACTGACAGCAGCAGGGGAACGACTTGGAATGGAATGCTTGGCGTGGCTGGTGTGCGTGGTGGAGGTCTCCAAGGCGAGAGATGCCGAAACAGTAACCTGGTGGACGAAAAGGAGCCAGGAACATGAAGACGGGAGAAAGCACGCTCAGCAGTGGGTAAGATGCCTGTGGTATATGGTACAGGACTCGGAGAGCATGAGCTCTGGAGCCCCAGGGCCTGGGGTGTAACTCCTGACCTGTCACTAACTGAGTGACACAGTCATACAGGTGTCACGGCCATCAAATGATAGAGGATATAAATTTCAACACGTTAGAAATATGAATAAAACTACAAAAGTATTTTAATTGTCAAAATATTCTAAGTAACTTTTTATAAACGGTGCTAACGTTTACAAATGCAGCCCTTTCTGTGGAATGAATTATCTTTGCTCCTCTCCATGACGGAGTTCGAGCACCACTGCTGGTGCAAGAATCATGGAATTTTTAGGGCAAGTTTAAGACCACAGGTTGCAAACTGGTGGCCCAAAGGTAGACTTGCCCCAACTGTGTTTCATTTGTCCTATCCAGTGTGTTTTTCAATCCGCTGTTAAAATCTGGGATATTTCACGTAAAAATCTTGATTTCCAGTGAAGCAGCTGTCCACTCTTCGGATGGGGAACGGATTCTTCAGTTCGCCACAGTCCTGAACACCCTCCAACCCGAGGTCATCGATCTTCATTCATGTTGCCGCTTTTCTTCCTCCTTGTCCATTTCTCATTTATACTGGAAAATTTTTCATCACAAGAGAGGCCCAGAGTAGTCCAGTTCTCTGCCCAAAGCCGATTAATACCTAGACAGAGACCAGACCCTGATGCTGCCGATGCAGTACCCACAGCATCACAAAGCCTGTCCTTCCACAGATGTGGAGAACAAACATACGGACACCAACGGGGGAAAGCAGGGGCGGAAGGGTGGGGAGCGGAGATGGTGGGATGAATTGGGAGACTGGGATTGACATGTATACACCAATATGTATAAGACAGATAACTAATAAGAACCTGCTGTATAAAAAATAAAATAAAATAAAATTCAAAAAAAAAAAAAGCCTGTTCTTCACAAGGACTCAACGCCCCATGTGGATCTGCCAGGAAAGTAACTGCAGACACCACGAGAAAAACTAACATCCTCTTCCACTTCTTCTACAGCCCTGGGAGCTAGAAAGACCTAAGAATCCAGACTGTTCAGGAGCTCACGGCCCAAGGATATATTGTATAATGCAGGGAATACAGCCAATATTTTGTGGTAATTGCAAATGGAAAGGAACCTTTAAAAACTATATAAAAATTAAGGGACTTCCCTGGTGGTCCAGTGGTTAAGAATCCGCCTTCCAATGCAGGGGACGCAGGTTCAACCCCTGGTCAGGGAACTAAGATCCCCCATGCCGTGGGGCAACTAAGCCCGCGAGCCGCAACCACAGCACCCATGCGCCCTGGAGCCTGTGCGCCACAACTAGAGAGAAGCCCGTGCGCCGCACCGAGGAGGCCACGCACCGCAGCAGAGGATCCCACGTGCTACAACTAAGACCTGATGCAGCCAAATATAAATAAATAAATAAATAAATAAATAAATACTTTTTTTTTTTAATTAAAAAAAATAAACTATTGCAAGCCACGGGGAGAAAAAAACAGCTCACAGCTCAGGGCCATAGGAGAACTCTGCCTGCCAAGGACAGGGACCAAAGGCCACACCCCCTGGCATCTATCGAAACAACTAAGACCATCATGATTACGCTGGGGCCCCGGAAAGGAGACAGGGCCCCTCCTCCTGGCCTGTGCACTCAGCTTAGACCACGGTGACGTCTGCCCACCAACTCTCCAGATTGGGCCAGAAATCCACCCTGTCCTTCCCTTCTGGCTGAGGGACAACCGCAGCTCCCGTTGCTTTGGGCCTCTGTTCAGTGCCAGGCAAAGTACCCATCTCTTTACTGCATTATCTCTCATCTCAGACGATCTTATCAGGTAGGCCTTATTTTCTCCATTTCATAGATGAAGTAAACTAAAGCTCATTGGAATGAAGTAACTGCCCCACTGCTAAACACCACTACCTACCTACCTGGACCACCCTTTCCGATTTCTCTGTGTTTTGCTCTGATAAGATAGAATTCTTTAGGGATGTGGATTAGTGCTGGGGTGTCCAGAGATATAATCACCGTGGAACAACACAACTGCCTCCAAATGACCCAAATGAATTCCTGAAACCCAGCAAAGAAGGAGGGAAGTGGCCTTTCAGCGTTCACGGTGGCCAGGACTCCTGGTGACTTGGCTGTTGTGTTGCCTCTCAACCCGTCAGCCCACCCGGAGAACCACTGGTTGTCACCACTCATGTCCCTGCATCGTGGGCTGCCTCTGGCCAACCACCTGGAGCCTCTGCAAAGCTGTTTCCACTTCTGAGACTCTGAATCAGCCTGCGGAGGGCAAACTCACCAATAACTACACTCCAGATCTTGAAAACAAGTTCATCCTCTCGGTTTGTGTATCTCCCAGAATCCCAGTGAAAGGTGGGACCCCTTTCACCCACCGTGGAGGGTCCTCTGATGGGGGAGGCCCACAGGGTTCCCATTTGCAACGTGAAACGAAATTTGCAAGGACTCATCTTTCTTCCCACCAGGCGTGGCTAGGTTGCTACAAGGAATAATCCAACTTGGGAGGGAAGGGGAGAAAGCTGTGCTTTACTTTTACTGCTCAAACTTCAACCCTTTTGAAAAACTTTAGTGAGTTGAATAATGTCTCCCAAAATTGTCCACCCGTAACCTCAGAACATGACTTTATTTGGAAATAAGGTCTTCGCAGATATAATTAAATTAAGATGAATTCATGCTGGTTTAGGCTGGGCCCTAAGACCAATGACTGATGCCCTCCTAAAAGGAGAGGTCACACAGACACACAGGCCATACAATGGTGGAGACAGAGATGGAGGGATCCAGCTATTAGCCGGGCAGCGCCAAGGACGGCCGGAGGCCACTGGGAGCTGGAAGAGGCAAGCAAGGATTCTCCGCTTGAGCCTTCAGGGGGCACATGGAGGGCCCTGCCGACACCCTGATTTCAGGCTTCTCAGGACTAGGTGAGAACACATTTCTGTTGCTTTAAGCCACGCAGTTTGTTACGACAGCCCAAGAAAACTAACACAGGAATACTGATACTCCGAGCGGACTCAATTCTTTAAATACCATTATGTCAACCATTATCTTCAGTCATAAGAACTCAATGACCCAGCACTAAATGACCAGTGATCTGCGGGCGGAAAAACTGGCTCCTGACCCTGGGAGGGTCACTGATCTCCAGGCACTTCCACTGCCTCGTTTATAAACAGAGATAATCACACCTGCCCTCCCTACCTAAGGTTTTCACAAGGCTAAAAGAAGCCATAGATATAAAAGTGGTGTGTAATCTAACCTCTTTTTACAACTGCTGCTCATTTTTCATATATTTATAAACTCTTTGAGATCTTGGAAGTCAGAAGGTCCTGGGTTTGAATCCCAGCTCTGCCATTTACTAAACTCTAGATTTGGGGCAAGACTCTCATTTCCGTTTTCCTCATCTTAAAAATGGCAGTGAATGCACCTGTCTCACAGGAGTGACATGAGGGGTGATGAATGTGGCCCGTGAGAAAGCTTGGTTCACTGGATACGCTGTCTGTGTCTTTCATCTCTGCATCTCCCCTGGGATGCTTCACTTCGCACACAAGGTGCCCGAAGATAAAAATGCATGTAATCAGGCAGTAGGGTACCCCTCCTCTTCCTCCTGTCACACAGGACCTCTGGCAGGAGGAGTGAAGAGATGTATAAACGGAGCAAAGGAAAGTCAGGAAGACCCTGGAGGTTACGGAGCCCCTGCAGAGGCTGTGCCATCCCCGCAGGCCTCTGGACTCCCGGCCTCGCGGTACCATCTCGCTCCCTCCCACTCCTGTTGCCAATCACTTCTGTCCAGTGGGGCCAGGAAAGAGGATGGGGAGCTAGCTGCTTAGAGCAACTCTACACTCAAGGCACAACAGCAAGGCAAAGAGGCCACCGCTGCCTTGCAGGCTGTGTAGCCCAGTTCACCAGGCAGGACCAAGGGAGGAAACACTTAACGAGAAGAAGGTATTAGACATTGAAAGAAACTCCCCAAATTGTGGAAGACACAGAAGGGTGAAGACCTCAACTTGAATGAAGAAAACCTTTACTAAAGTCAGCATTCTAGAGCCGCACACACAAACATGTGGGTAGCAGAAGGGAGTGAGCGGCTCCCTCCCCCATGCCACCCCGGCATTTCTCTCTCTTTTCACAGGTTCACCAACGTTTATCAGAATAATGGGCCAACAAGCAAATCCGCTTTGTACTCTGCTTGGGTGCGGTATCACAAGGGCTGGGTAGAGTGTACAGGTTTCTTCTATTACTTTATTCACGGGAACCCTGAGATACCGGGGAGGATGATCTGCTCCAGCACAGAAGGGTTGTTACCGGAAGTCACTAGAATGTAAGCATTTCTGACTGTACTACAGAGAAAATCAAGCTTTTCAGCAAAGCGTGGATTGCACGCCCGACGCCTGCCTATATTATCGGTTAAAGGTCCAGTTTTTTCCAAACATAGTTTCCCCCTCTCTTCCTCCCTACCCATCTCCCTTTCTTTTTCTGTATTTCTAAGAAAGGAGTTCTTCGTTAGCCGAGTCAAGGAAAACAAGAGTCCTCACAGAACAGCCAGTAAACTGGTGCTTATAAACGGAAGGCTTTCCTAGGACAGGTCGGTGGATGGCCTGGACTGGTCCCCAGGTGGCTTCCTAAAGTCAGAAGAGTCTCCCCCAAGCCAGGAACAAGTTCCGACTTCCCTCCTCGTGTGAGTTTCCTTTACTCTGTTTCTCGGAGTCAGCAATCCATTTTCCAGTCCCGCCACATTCTGAATCAGCATCCCAGAATGACCCAAACCACGACCGACCAGGAGCCCTCCCCTCCCAGGAAGCACAAAGGGGACACTCCGTAAACTTCCCCTTGAGCTTGATTCAAACTCAGACTCTCAGCTCAACTTGTGGTTAGTCAGCCAAGGTGTGAGAAGAGGTAGGGGAACTAGTCTGGAACAGGGTCCTGGGAAAGTCCCTGCCGCCATCTGGGTCGTTCCCGTGCAGGGAAGAGGCCCTGACCCCCTCCAGAAAGGAGAAAGATCATACATACAGTGATTTTGCTGGCTTGGTTCAGGGCTTCGACCCAGTCCTTCAGATCTTTCTGGTCATTGGCTTGAAGAAAATACCTCTGCGAGAGGGCGTTGATGACTGCAAAAGGCACGGGGACGAAGAGAGAAGAACCCAGGTCAGAACACACACAACACAGAGACTCCACAAAACTAAGGCGCTTCAACTAGCAGGGCGGAGGATCCCCGCCGCGCAGACGAAGATGCTTCCCACGGTGCAAAGTCACCTGCGTGAATATCTGGGAAGCAGCGGGCTCTCATTTTTAAAAGGTGTGGATTATTCCATTGGCCACAAGACAACAACAATAGCCTTCGTGTGCTGCTGTGCTGGGAGGCAGCTCATCCACCATCCATAAGGCACACGCCTGGACAGCTTTTCAGAGGCACCGAGAGATTGACAGTCGTGATGATACATACATAATTTTGGCCCCAGTGTTCCTAGTTTCCACTGGCACAGCTGACCCAGGTTAGGGGTCTTGTCTGTGGTTGAGAAATGTAACGAAGCTTGCCTGCGATCAAGTCTGTGACCTGGACCTCATTTTCAACCTGGTCTTCCCTCTGAGCACTCCATAAAGTCAACAGTTTACTTCTGGGTTCATTGTTTTGTTTTTTTTTTAAGATCCGCTGACCACAAGATCTGAGAGTCATGTTGGAGCTTGGTCATGATATTTAAAGGGAGTGGGTGAAAGAGCACAAAAGAAGTTTGAAGCAACCTGGAGTTGGGAAAGGGGACAGATCAAAGGACCATTTTACTTTCCAGGCATAAATAAGCCAGAATTGGAGGACGTGAGCATTGTGGGGTAGACAGAGAGTCCCTTAGTTCATTCATTTATTCATTCAGCAAATATTTAGTGAGTACCCGCTGTGTGCCAGGAACCACACTCTAAGTGCCGGGGATACAGCAAAGACAAAGCAGAGGAGCATCCCTGCCTTCGTGGAGCTCACACTCAGAACCAGAGAGACAGCAGAAGCTATCTGTTAGCATCTGCCCGTAGCACTCAGCACAGCACTGAGAAGGCAGTGGAAGGCAATTAAATACTGATGATTCAATGACCTGCCTCCACTGAGCAGCTCCGCTTCCTGTGTCACTCTCACCGGTCACTCATTTGGCAACAAGACACTCAACAGAACGTTCCTCCTTTTCTATTATCCCCCAACTCCTTCAAGTCTCCACGTTTCCTAAGCACACCGTTACTCTGCTCTGAGATGAAGGTTCCCGAAAACTTCAGGTAGATACCCGGCACCCCGCCCTGCGGAGCCGGGAAAACTGAGACATCACTGGCCCCCGTGCCTCTGTCTCATGTTGTTAACAATCTTTGCAGGGAGACCAAGGAAAGGAGTATCCAACTTGAGACCCACGGACATGGCTGGGACAGCAGTCACTCACACACGCAGGGTGTAAGTCACATGTGGTCACAGGACTGTCTCCACTCAAAAGAGGAAGCTGCTGTAGGAGTGTTCAGAAAACCCATCCTGGGCTCAGTACTTACCAAAGCAAAACGGAGTCTTGGGTTTCTGCTTTGGGGTGGCTATGCTCACCTAAATCAAATGAAAAATAAAAGAAACATGAATACGTTTCCAACAGTGTTGTAAAGTTGTGGGGGGGTTTTTTCCTCAAATTTTTTAAATTGGGAAAACTTTATACAAAAAGAAGAGTATATAAAACATATTTGAACATTTTAAGAACTAATAATTAAGTGGAAACCCCGCACTCATCATTCACATCAAGAAATAAGCCACCATCGGTCCTATTTCTTAGAAGCCCTTTGTGTGCCCCTCCCTGATGGAATCCCGTCTTCACCCCTCGGAGATAATCACTATCCTGTTATCTGTGTCGAACCTTCATCCTTGCAAAAACTCTTAAAATCCACTGAGTCCTGAAAAATTCTCTTTGGACCACAAACATGCACTGACCCCATTCACACGAGCAAGATTCCACTCCTCTCCCAACCACCAACCTGCTCCCTAAACAGCTCTTCGAATTAAAGGTGGAACTGTCACAAATACATAGATTCCAATCAGAGTTCGCAGAAGGGTGAGGCAGCCCGTCACTCACTGCACTGGGACAACTGATCAGTCTCCCTTAACTCTACCCTGACTGTTTCACCATGAAAATAAGCACTTGCCCAGAGAGGGGCCGATGGAATCAGAGCGCATGCCCGTATTGAAGCAGAAGGGTTTTTCTACCTCCTGCCGTGTTATCTTGCTTTTTCAAGCCTGCCTCTTACATGTATATTCCTGAGTATGTGCATGTTGTGAGCTCACCTCATTCAGGTTCAAATACACTGAACAAATAAAGGAAAGCATATTCCATCACATGGAATTAGGTGACTGCCCTTGATGGGGGCTGAACCTCACTGGAGCAGGCATCCACCACTGTACCTGGGAATTAAACTTAATACTGCCCGGAATACTCAAGACGGGAACCAAGGTGGCAGCCTATAAAAGATCAAAGCAAGGACAGGCGGTACAGCCTGGGCTTGGTGCCAGAGCACCTGGCCCCCAAACCCAGGAGGCCCAGCTGTCAGACCCCCATTTCCTGTTCTATCAAATAGGGTTAGTAAATCACATTCTCATAGGGCTATGGTGAGGGTTAAATGTGACAGTGCAGGTGAAGCACTTAAGCCATCCTGTCATACAGGAGCTGCTCAACCAAGGAGGGGCTATTTACACCCACTCCACACACCAGTACAAGCCGTGCCGTGCTTGGCACAATGGGCAAAATGCTGAGGGCCTTGTGAGCTTCTCCAGGGCCTAAAAAAATGCAACATTAATAAATATTTAATTAAATGTCTGTATAACATTATATCAACCTCATTGACAAGTATTTAAATAAATGCCTACAAGATGTCACACGTTAAGTCAACTTCATTCACGTTTCAACTAAACATTCACAAAAATCACACTACATTCGAAAATAATTAGTAGCTTCGATTTTCTTGGTTCATAAGAATCCTTGGATGTGCAAGATGACAGCCGAGAAATTAGAGCCAATCATAAATTAAATGAGTTACAGCCAAATCATTCCAAAAGTAAAATGATTTAAATCCTTTCAAATATCTTACAGCCAGACAATTAGAGTCAACGAGGGATGTGAGTGTATCTTGATATGTTTACCATGACGTGAGGTGGAGGACAGAGGGCCTAAGAAAGTGTTTAAATAGTCCCGAAAAACATGAAGATTTATGCAAAGGTAAGCCCCCATATCCTGAGTACAGACACACGCAATGCAAATTCCGTTACATCTTCAGCACTCCCAGGAAGCGTGTGCTGGAGCCTCATGACGTTGAGTCCTGGCCCCCGTGCCATCTTGTTCTCCTGCGATTCAGACCCCAGAATTCAATCTAAGCCACACTGTGTGCCTTTATCCTGTTTGCCTCTGATGCTCTGATCTGTCAGTGACTCATGTGCTTCCTCCTTCAGCATCCGTGTTCCCGCAGGTCCTTGAGCCCACAGCTCCTATGCGTCCTGCCCTTGGTTCCTGTATAACCTTGACCGTCACAGAACTGCCTCGGCCATCCCGGTCCTCAGTACCCACCTATCTCACGGCTGCCCTTCTACCTTTGGCTTTCAAATGGCAGTGAAAAGCTGGGTGCTTCGAGACTTTTCTCTGGCTTATTAGGGGACTTGTTCTTTCTCCCCGACACTGACAATTTATCATCAACAAGAGACAGCACCACTGTGGGCCCTTTCGCCCTGGCTGGGTGACAAACAGGCCCACTCTGACCACAACTTATTACCAGCCTATCCGGGGAGAATGTGCTTATTACCAGAACCCAAGTTTTCAAAGAGATGGCCTGGTTTTTCATTTGTTTTTGTATGTTTATCCAGCGTTCAGTTGGGGGTATGCCGATTACACGCATGCACGTCTATAATTTGCCTCATGGTGACCACAGAAGGATTATTTGGCAAAGCAGCTCTTGCTGAATTAACAGGACGTCAGTTCCAGGTCAGCCCCGATGGGCTGTTGAGCAAGGGTAAGACCCTCAACATCTCTGATCAGCTTCCCGACTGGCAAAGCCAGAGCGGAATGACTTGTCCCCTTCTTAGAGTCCCGGAATGACAAAAGAAGAAAACAAAGTCATAGCTACTGGTTGCTGTGCCCTCCAAGAGAAGGGCCAGGGTTGCAGGGGCGGGGGGGGGGGGGGGGGTCTCACTTACCATGAAGAGGTATAGCTCTGGCCTCCCCCCAGCAGAATCCCTGCCACCTAGGAGGCATAACCCCACTCCTCCCACCCCTACCGTCTGTTGGTAACCAGGACAGGCTGTGCAGCCTTCTTCACAAGAAGTGAAGGAACAGAGGCTCTTGAAGCAGTGTGGCTGACAGGGTGATGCTGGCTGCAGTTAAGTAGCTGCACAACGGTGGTTGACCGATGGATCCTCGGTGAGAAGGCAGCGAGAGGCGGTGGGGACGTGAGGGAGGGACAGGCATGGGTCACCCGCAGGGTGACGCAAGCGAGGCCGCCCCACAGCTTGACAGACTCTCAGGAACTTGCTCTTATCAGATCGCGCACAGACCACAGGAGCAGCAAAGTCATGGGACGCTGGGGCACTGCTAGCCCGCCCCACCCTGTCTGCCCTCAGCCGGAAGTGGAGCTGGGGCCCCTCTGGCAGAAGCAGCAGCAGCAGGCCACGGTCTCGGAGCTCCGGTGCAGCTCGCAGCCTCCGTGTCCATGGAGACCCTGCCCCACGAGGTGGCATCAAGAGCAGGGGAAGTGGCAGCCACCTACCCAGAGCAGTCGGAGGGGCTCTAAGCTGGGGTCTCTGGACCAGCTTCAGGGAGTCAAGGGGCCCTGAAGCCACAGGCGAAATCAGGGTGTGTGCACACATGCATGATTTACCTGGGAAACGAGACCACGCTTTTCATCAGACTTTAGAAAGGATCCCTGACACCCCGCCCCTGCAAAAGCCAGGAACACTGTTCCAGGAGGGTCTTCATTACAGTTAAGGAAGGGCCAGGCCCTGACAAAACGGAACGCGAGCTGGAGGTGGGACAGTGGGCCTGGCTGTGTGGAAGAGAAGGGCCCCCAGGCAAAGCGGGGAGGTGGGTAGCACCAGAGGCCAGCATCCATTTTTTTCTGGTTTGCCCAAGAATTGGTCCTGCCTCTGTCAAGTCAAGAACCTTTATCTCTGCTGGCCTCTCTGAAGGACTCCATCTTCCCAACACCAGCCTGCAAGAAGGAGCACGCCTGAACGAAGAGGCCACACAGACACTCCGGCCAGGCTGCCACTGCTGGGTAAACGCTTTCCTCGGGGAGGGAACACCTAGGGGTTAACAAGAAGTAACCCGGAACGCTGAATGTGATACCAGCGGCTGGCTAAATGTTTTTCTGGGAAAACCCCTGCTTTCTGACATTGGGTCAGGCAGCAGTTAAAGGCTCTCCTCTCTGTGAAACCTGACCCAGTGGCAGCTGTGGGTTTTGCAAAACCCATCCAGTCCTGCCTCTCCTGTCCATGAAGGGTGAAAGGCAGGACCATCCCTGCTAAATGACGGCAGCCTCCCAAGCTGAGAATTCTCGAAACCCTCACCTGAGCTATGTTTATACATCACGATTCTGCAGGAGACTGTATTCACTCGTCTCCCATCAGGAAAAACAACAACGACAAAACCCTCTCAAACAGTAGAGGGTTTGGAGTTTCATTAATATTGAGGTTCTCTGCTCCCCGCTCTCTGAATCCTCTTTCTTTGAACCTCCAAACGAAATGACCTAATGAGCTCTCAGCAAGACAGGACAGAAGAGGGGAGGGCCCAGGCCTCCGACCTCTGGGCCGGGAGGCGGCCACATTCTAACCACAAGGCATGCAAATTGCCTGCTTCCACAGGCCCTTCCCCCTCCGCAGGTCCTTCCCTGCTCCCTCTAAGGCGCTCAGACACTGCCTGCAGCTTCTGCCTTGGCACCCGGCTGTGTCTGCCAGACTCTGGCCTGCAGCCCCTGCAGCTGCTCCCACCTCCGGCCCAGCTGAGATGGAGGGCTGCCCAAGGACTCCCGAAGCCTGTTACAAAAAGGAGCCAGGGGCCACTCAGATCAGGGCCTCATCCCCCCTGAGGATGGGAGAACGTGGACAAGGAAGCCGAGGTCCCCAAGAGACTTGACGTGAGGGGTGTGTGAGGAGAGCGGGCCTTCCGGAACCTCGGTCCTGGCTGGGCGCCACCTGGCTCTCCTCACTGGACAGAGCTCCTCTTTCTAACGAGGCTCTAAATCTCCCGGCCTTTTTTTTTTTTTTTTTTTTTTTATCACTGCTGCACCACAGTTCAGCGCTGGTGCCTGCTCCAGGGAGGGGCCACTAAACAAAGCTGAATTCAGCAGCTACGTCTGGGCATCAGCAAGCAGCCCCAGGCCCCACCCAGGTCTCAGCACGGAAGAGGGGCTGCTCTCGCCCTGTCTGTGCAAACAGGACCAGGGGACGGACTGTCGGCCTGCCTGCCGGACCCTCCAGCCCTTATCTGGCCGCTGAATGGCTTCCTGGCTCATCTGGGAACGTCCTCGGGGCGCTCGTAGCCTCCCCGCCACAGTGATCCAGTGACCATGTTCTAGAGACCCCCTCAACACTCCCCCCAAGTTGGTCAGTTACTAAGCCCAGCCCTGTAGTTGAAAGGTGTCAGGGACATTTAGTTGTTAATGATCCATGCATTTTATGACACAGGCCCAATGATTAACGCTACTTGGGTATTGGGTCAACATGAAGTGCCTCTGCTGTGCCATCAGCGAACCTACCAAGAACCAAGTGTGTGAAAAGAAGAACAATAACAATAAAAAGACACAAAATGTTAAGACTAGGAAGTCATCACAGGTCAATAACTATTTAAATAAATAAAAATGTTAGACACTGAATTCACCGCTATATCCTTATATTAAATTCCTTTTTTCCTTTATTAATTATTTTTTTGCAATTGCCAATGCACTGGAAGATGAAAAATATACTTCAACCCACGCTTTTGGTTTGACCACGTGTCTGTTGTTGTTAAACATTAAATATCATTCTGAAAACACAGTGATTTAATTATAATTTAACTTTTGGCCCTTCAATGAAATGCATATAATTCCAGTGCAGCCCTCACTCCTTGTGAGCCACGCCAGTGGAACCACGCCATTCGGGAGAATCCTTTTCAGTCACCAGGTTTTTTGTTGTTGTGTTCCTTTTTGTCCCGATTGCAAAAACAAAGTCACGTCCCACTCTTCCCTCCACCCCCCATCCCTCCTTTGCGGGAGCTGGCAGCATCACTGACTGCTGGGTGCCAGGAGTGAGAGGCCGCAGGCCACCCTCCAAGAACCTGCTGACCACACGCCACCCCGCCCCAGTCAGCCACAAGCTTCCACGGGCCACCGCGGAAGGGGAGCACTTTATGGCCAAGCAACATCCCCAGATGCCAATGCCCGACGTGTGACGCTTCCTCTGGTTTACATCCTCAACCTACTCACGGACCATGAATCCCCAGAGCTCCAGGCCAACGTTACCTTCGAGATGTAGGTCAGCTGCAAAGATCCGACGGCTCCTGCCCCAACTGCCAGGTTCTGAAAGACACATGTTTTGGGTTTTAAGAAGGATGCTATCTGAGGCAGTGAAGCACAACTAAGAGTCAGAAGACCAAGATTCTGGTTCCGTTGACGCCATTTTCTGGCTTTGCAACCTTGAGCAAGTCACCTACCTATTGCTTTTTTGATTTTTTATTTTATATTGGACTACAGTTGATTAATAATGTTGTGTTCGTTTCAGGTGTACAGCAAAGTGATTCAGTTACACATATACATGTATCTCTTCTTTTTCAAATTCTTTTCCCAATTAGGTTGTTACAGAGTATCGAGCAGAGTTCCCTGTGCTACACAGTAGGTCCTTGTTGGTTATCCTTTTCAAATATAGCAGTGTGTTCCTGTCAGTCCCAGACTCCCTAACTATCCCTTTCCCCTACCCTTCCCCCCTAGTAACCATAAGTTCATTCCCTAGTCACTTACCTATTCTTCAGCTCACTTTCCTCGTCTGTAAAATAGTGATAATCCTTGCTGTGGGTATGTGGACTTAACACTTCCCTTGGCCTCATTTATTATAGAGAGGTATTCTAGTACAGTGGTTAAAATTGGGGGCTCCACCATTTGACTGTGAATAAGTTCCTTCACCGCTAAGCCTCAGTTTTCCCTTTGTGAAAAGAGGGATAATGATAGTACCTACCTCACCAGACAGTTCTAAGGATGAGTTAATAGATTTACACCACCTGGAAGTGTCCCTGGTATATAGATGACCCTGAACAAGTGTTAGCTATTTTATATATTTTTATATATATATATATATATATAAAATTCTTCAAATTCAAATTCTTTTCTTAACAAATAGGGTACAGGTTCACACAATATAGGAAAAAAAGAAAAGAAAAAAACATAGCTGTTCAGTCTATTTCAAAGGACACTTATGAGTACCAAATGGAATGATGTCCATACACTATAAAACACTAAGTCAGTGCACTGTTAAATATCAAGAAACTCACAGGCACCTTGTCTGGCCATATTCCACCCTGGCACAATCTCTTCAGCTTTCTAACTTCTCCACTGTCAGAAATGAAGGGATGAAGTCACACGGGCGGTAGCGTACCAAAAAAATGGCCAAGATGAGAAATCACAGCTGTGGAGTTTCTCACTTATAACTTGGCAAATCCAATCCCACAGGGACCTGAGGTGTCCATAGCTCCTGGTGGCCTCTTCAACTGCTGCCATAGGCCTCAGAGAATAACCTGGAAGCCCTCATTTTGAAGACCTGGTGTCTTCTCAAAGCAATAAACAGAGGCAAACCTAGGACGATGGGGATTTAGTAAACTCCCCAAAGGGTCAATGGTGAAATGACCCGTCATTCCAGGAAACTGCCCTTAAGAAATACCTCAGGTGGCAGGGAAGTGTCCTTCTAGGCCCAATTACCTAAATTAACATGCATCACTTGAAGCAAAGGCAATGTGTGAAGTTTCCTATTCACAAGAAAATGGATGGGGATAAAACCACGACAAAAGGATTCTCAGAGCTCAAGAAATTTAGAGAGAAATCTAGAAAGGCCATCTTCCCCCTTTTGCAAATGAGGCCATAAATCTAAAAGCTGCTTTTGAGTAGCTGATTTAGCATTTTGAATATGGACAATTAGATTTACACATTTGTTTTAACTACGTAGTGATTGCATTTGTTTTTTGGGGGTTTTTTTAGAAAAATCTCTATTGGGGGCTTCCCTGGTGGCGCAGGGGTTGAGAGTCCGCCTGCCAATGCAGGGGACACGGGTTCTTGTCCCGGTCCGGGAAGATCCCACATGCCACAGAGCGGCTGGGCCCGTGAGCCATGGCCGCTGAGCCTGCGCGTCCGGAGCCTGTGCTCCGCAACGGGAGAGGCCACAACAGTGAGAGGCCCGTGTACTGGAAAAAAAAAAAAAAAAAAAAAGAAAAATCTCTATTGGGTAATGACAGATAGACCTTGTATCCCCAAATCAGAGTCCATAAAGGAGCCACAGCACCCCAAAAGGCCAGTGAGCAGCTGACACTGCCCCGGAGGAGGCTGTGAACCACCCTAGGCCTCTGCTGGATACTGGGCGCCTGGCCCTCCCCCAGCCCCTGTTCTGCACTTGAGGAAAGTGACTCATGAGTGAGGGGATTTGCTCAAGGTCACACAACTGGCTCGGGTCTCCTGACTTCCACGCTGATACCCTAGACGCAGCACACTGTCATTTCAAACCCTTGAGCGTCTGGAATTCCACCTGAGACATTATCGCCCTAGGACCTCAGGCAAGTTTCTCTACCTATAAAATGGGGCTCATCCGACCCGTTCCCTAGGCTTGTTGTGAGAGTTACATAAGAATAAACAGCGCAGGCCCAGCAAAGGGCAGCTCCCATCCCCGGCCCAGAGCGCTAATTACAAGACGCAGATGCCAAGTCTCAGAGCCACTCTTGCTCAACTTGCTTTCCTCACCCCAAACCGCAGCCTGAAGGCCTCCAGAGCCTTAGCCTGAATTACAAGCGATGAAGTAGGATTTGGGGAGCCACTCAGACACTAACCTGTGCGTCCTGCCAGATATAAGCTGATCCCATTCCAACGACTTCTCCCCCCTACCCTCCAGAGGGAGGGCAGCTCCACCCTCAGCCCCTGCCCCCCTGAACTCTCCCGCTTCAGAGACAAGGCCACATCAGTCTCCCGGCCCAGCTACCCTGGGACGGGGGTGTCCCCATGCCCCTCACCACGGCCCACCCTCGGCCTGCCTGCTCCTAGGCTCACAGGCACCTCCCTCCTCCATGAGGAGCCAGGAAAATCTGACGCATGTCTGAAAATGCAGCTTCCCCCCACCTTCCTCCCCACCCAGGGGGAAGTGAGTGACAGGAGAAAACAGCGCCAAGATCACAGAGGCTTGATCCAGACGGATGGCTCAGTGTCCGCTCCGACTGCTGGACCTCGGAGATGAATGACAACAGCTCGCTGCCAGGATGGCGGCCCCGGGCAGACACTTCCCGGGCCAGGAAGAATGTGCCAGCTGCCTGAGCAGAGGGCTTCACAGCCAGATGTCAGGGCAGGATCACCAGGGCCCAGCGCCTGGGGAGGGCCAGGTGTCAGAGCCCAGGCGAGCACCATGTCCTCCGGGGAAAGGACGGGAGGCCCTGCCTTCGCAAAGCCTTGTTGTCTACCGCGGCAGCCTGCCCTGCCCTCCCACCCCCGCCTGAATTCGTGCACACCATCCTCCAACTTTGGTGCACATCAGCCTCTCCCGGGGAGCCTGTTTTAAAAGGCCCAGGCTTAAGCCTCACCCGGAAAAACACTGAATCAGAATCAAGTGGAATATGGTCAGAAAGTGCACATTCATTTTTCAAGCATCCCCTAAATAGGCCCAAGTTTGAGAACACCGGTCTACATGACAAAGTCTAGCCCTGGATTTTTTGTTGTTTCTGGACACACCGTGCGGCTTGTGGGATTTTAGTTCCCCGACCGGGGATCGAAACCGTGCCCCCCTGCCGTAGAAGTGCGGAGTCCTAACCACTGGACCGCCAGGGAAGCCCCCAGCCCTGAGTTTTGTATTGGAGTGTATTTTACTGTGAGTTTAAGTCTCTTCTTGCTAGATTTTAAGCACTCTGAGGACATGAGTAGCATCTTATTCCTCTACCCAGGAGACAACTCGATTTTTAAATGAAAACACAATTTGCATGGTGGTTAAGTTCCCAAACCAGTCCTTAAGAGCCTGCTACCCTCATAGGATACTGGACAACCAGGACAGCTTCTCTCTACCACTGGCAAACATTGTGCCTTCGGGAAGACCTGTTCAAGTTCGAACTTGGGTGTCACTTGAGTCTGCAGTTCCCCTGTCCTGGGGCAGGGTTCCTGTGGGACAGGAACTGGGTGCAGGGGGGAGCGAAAGGAAAGGGTCCCCAGTAGAAGGGAGTCAAGGACCTGGGGGAGGGAGTTGAGGAAGGGGTTAGGGAGGGGCCAGCAGACGGGGAGTGGAGACAGAGGTTGGTGGGGAGACTGCCTGTACGGATCACCTGGGGACGTTTTCATACAAAGAATGCCCATGCTTCATTCCAGGGTTTTAACATAAAGGGTAGGGCCCAGGCACCTGTATGTTTTTAAAGCTCGAAGGTGATTCCACCCCACGGCCAGGTCTCAGGCCCCCAGTTGCAGACTCTGGCTGGGCCTGCTGACTCTGCACTGGAGACCCAGCAGCGGGTGAGAAAGGCCAGTCACCCCGTCGTTGCACCATCACCAAGAGGGAAGAGGAAGACGCCGGGGCAGTGGGCAGAGAGGGGAAAAGGAGATCCTAGCCCCACGCTGGGTGTCTGTGAGTCAGGAGCAGCCTGTCCATTTCTGGGGCTTCTAAATTTTCTGGAACAACGTAGGGCATAAGGCACGTTCCTATTTAATGGTGGATGGTTTTAGGAAGGCGCGGCCAACCCTTGCTTTCTGCTCAAGGGTTCTCCTGCCACCAAGGGCCTCAAGGGAGCTCCCACTCCCTTAACTGGGAAGCAGGGGGTTGATTCTTTCCCATCACCAAGGAAGGAGCTGAGGTGCCCACAGAGATGTGACACACCTCCCAGGGGAAGCCTTTTTGCTAGAAGCAACATTGTTTCTTTAAAGAGAAAAATGTCCCCATCTTCTAGTGAGAGTAACAAGAACACAGAAATGACCAGAAGACCTATCTACAGATTCCTAAATTCATGGAATGTCAGCGCCAGAGGGTTCTACCCCATCATTCACCACGAGTCCTCTAAGCCTCACCTTGAGGAAATGACTTCCTCAAGCAGCCGAGTGAAGACAGACAGAGGTCCTAACTCCCAGAGTCAATCGGGTGCTTTGGCAAAGCACAGCCCGAGAAAGGAAGGCGGAAACTGACAGATGTTTAGAGTCTGTTTTGCACCAAGCCTGCTGCACACTGTCAGTTCATCCTAACAACCCATTTCACAGATGAGGAAAGTCGGGATGGAGCAGGAGAAGCAAGTGCTCCGGGTCACATGGGTACTGTGGGTAGTCAGGCGAGGATTTGAACCCAGCCCTTGTTGATTCTCAAATAC